ATAAATTAATATTAATCACCAACATTTTCCATCTTCCAAACCCATTACCATGTGGACCTAATATCCTTACGGGGGCACACTAAGTGAAATAACTCAAAACTACTTGTTTGAATTTTGATTATGATACGTCTACATTTTCAGAAAAATGATTTGGTAAGTAAATTACAAATGAAAAGGGAGGTTCTCATTTGAAAAACTGAGAAGAAGTCTGAGTCGCCTCAGGACACTCCTTAAGTACTTCAAGAAAATTCAAGAATTTAAAAAAATGGACGTCGAGTATATTTAAAAATCAGAATTTGAATAATTTCAACATAAAAGGAAAAAATTGGGGTGAGCAATCTTGGTGAATCATCTGTATATATTATGTACATACCTAAAAAGTTTTTCAAGATTTTTAGTTTAAAAAAAAATTATTTAAAAATAAATAATTTTGCTTTTCGATAAATTTACAAGACTTTAAACAGCTTTTTTATTTATAATTACAGTTTTAAATATCACACAAATTTAATATTATAGAATTTATAAATGTATATGTATGATGACATTGAATATATTGTTAAATAATTAAAAGCAGTGTTAGTTTCGAATATTTACATAATATATATAATATATATATATGTATTTTTAAACATACATATTAGGTACATATATTTTATATATTTAGTATTTAGGTTCTGAAAATAATAGTGATAATAATATGAGTATATGATTTTAACACAATAGGTTCCTATATCTTTTCAAAAATCAATCATTGAGATATTATAATAAAATTTGGATTTATATTTATATTATTAATTTTACAGCGTATTGATATTATGTAGTCATACTGGCTATTTTCAGTTCTCGTTTGTTGTGCCAATTATTATTTTTAAAAGTGAAAGATTCTTGAAATCCTCCAACATCTTGGTTTACCTTAAACGGAATTACAGAGGTTAGAACTTTCAAAAAAGTCTATTTTAAAATATATTAATTTTTGTTTAATATTTATCTGCATTAACATAATATTTGTATTATTTTATTCATTGGCCCATAATTAATACTATAGTGTTTTGCTGTAAACTCTGAAATGGATGATAAGAGAAAACTTATGTGTTCCCTACGTATTTGGAGAGTCTAGTTTGATGTCATAATACTTTTTTCCTGTTATGACTATAAGCCCAAAAGTGATTACTTACATGTGAAACACTGTTGTTTTAAATGCGTGGGAATATTATGTCTACCTATAATCATATATTCGATTATTTTATGAAATATTTGAATTTACTTTCGCCTGCAATATTATTATTTTCAATGACTAGTTTTAATGTAATAATTATTGTTATGGTGTAACTTTTATCTAGATGTCCGTAATGATTAAAATATTAAATATATATGTCATTGAAAACTAATATTAAATAATGAACAATACTGTACGGTAATATAAATAGTAATAAACAGTAATAAATTCGATGGATTCCCATGTATTTTTTTTTATTACTACATGTGTAGAAGTATTCAGTTTACTTCAGTTTATTCCACTTTACTAAATTAATGTTAAAAGTAATCAAGTTTGGTCTAAATTTGTTGGGTTACCTATCTAGATTCTTTCAATTATTTCAATAAAATTATATTTTGACTAATAATTTGAATTTATTTTCAAAAATAAATTTCTTTAAGATTTTACTGTCAACAAAAATTGTCGATAAATAATAATTTCGTTGAAAAAATGTTACGCCATGTGCTTTTACAATGGCCAACACATCGTAACAAACAGTAGGTACTATACAAATTAAAATAAATCGTACACCTTAAAAATATAACGACATACATAATTTCAACAGTGATTTTGTTTTAAATATTTAATCATTTTTCTTTAAAAAGATATGTTTTTGGGTTGGGTACAAATTTTTTTTCTAACTGATTTTCTGAATGCCTGTTTATTGCCATAGAAACGCAAATCAGCAATAAATAAAAAAAATTAAATTCCTAATAAAATGCAGCACGCCACTAAATATTTTTCCACTCCACTATACCCAAAAATATATCTATGATTTCTCAATTCTTCAATTTTCCTCAATTTTTCATTTTTAGTTTCTATTAATTTTTTAATTGATGAAATTATTATTTTTAAATACATAAGGTGTTTTCATATTTTAAAATTTTAAGCATATTTTTCTAATTTTCAATGCATAAGTGCAGCCATAATTAATTTGTTACAAATTATAATATAATTAATATAATTCTTGAGTCTCGTCCATTATAATTATTTATGTACTTATGGCTTATAGTTTTCATTTTGTATTAAAGTTACTATTTACTATCATGATATAATATAAATATTAATAAAGTTTATTTGTATGAAATTCGAAATTAAACGTTTTGTGCTCAAAGAATACTAATGCAAACTTTTTATTTTACGAAACGCACGTGCCACCGTCAAAAGTACACATATTTTTACACAACATATACATAAATGTATTTATAATTAATATTGAATTCACGTATAACACATTGTGTCGAGAAATTTTCAATTGTATTATTTTCCCTATTCAATTATTACCTGATACCTAAATCAATAGCTCATCGTGTATGATATATAGTTATAGCCTTACAACAGTATTTATTTATTTCAAACAAGTTGGTATTCATTTTTAAAAAGTTTTGTTTTATAACAAGTACAATCGATCATATTATTTTCGTTTAGTATTTCGTAGAGCGAGGTTTATACTATCAATATATAAAGTATGATTTATCTTTTATAATTAATATTGGTTAAATTTGTTTTTCTCTCTGATTCCCCATGATATACCTCATTCGTCGTTTCAGAATAATAAATATTATAGCTTCGTGATTATTTTAGATGTAGTTTTTTACAGGTGCTTGTTCAAAACCTAAAATTCTAGTAGGTATATAACTGAGAAATGTATGTTGAGCGTAGTTATAAACCCATAAATTATTTACTCATTTATTCACATAAATCAGTTTTCGATTAGAATTTAACTGTTAAGTGACAAGGGCATTTTTTAAACGCTAAATAGATAAATTAAAATATGCATTTTTCTGTTTACACTAGCAAAATAAAAATTACGTGGATACCGGCGATATACATTGGAAACAGAATAAATTATTATCCTCATTTGTAGTGTGCATAACTTAAATATTAAGTTTTAAAGTAAGAAAATATGTTGTTAATTTTAAAGTTTTAAACTCTTATGAAATATTCACTGTTACTTTGGCTCTTACATCTGACATCGAACAAATTGGGTTGCGTTTTATTTATTAATTATAGTATTTAATTCGAAGAAGTATATTTGCCATCTGGTATTTATGTATATATTAAAATTAAAATATAGTAGGTATATGAGTTTTACGGTGTATTATACTGCAGCGGCGATCGAATAAAACGCTCCATTGCTTTCTTATAGTGTTTTAACACTATCTATCTCTTGCTAAAATCTGCCCACTTTTTAGGTAGGTACCTAATGTATTATTTATTATTAAGTAATATTCTTATGTGTGTATAGTTAAATATAGTTATATTCACAATAATAGTTATGATAATGATGATATAACATATACCTCCTCTCTATAGTCTCTACGCCTCGATGTATTATTTCCGGAGGCGACTGCCTTTCAGGCCATCTCTCCGATTACAGAAAAACGAGTTTGGCCATAGCTCCAGCTGATATCATCGTACAGAAGTCACTTTATTAAAGTCAGTTGTAACTATCTTGTGTACGAGCCTTATACGTATAATAGTGTATAATACATAATATATTTATCAAATTCAATTTGGCAGGTCTTGTGTATGATTTATTTGATTTATTATATTACATCTGTTATACATATGTGTTGGAATGAATGAAAAACAATTAAAATTACTTAATTTACTGGTAGTATTGTAAATATATAAGTAAAAAATCTCGATTTTAGATATTTGCCAAAAAAATGGCAAATGTTGTGTATATTAATACCTACTCCACGATTTTTTTGTTTCCACATTCGGCATTGGCCATAAAGTGACTATATTGCTTTCACTAGATGTCTTACACGAAAGCATATTTACATACCTAGGTACCTGTATAATTATTATGTATAGGCTTTTATATTTTTATCTGTTACGCATCAAAAAACTTGCGTAGTATGTTTTTATCATGGGTATTTAAATATGTTTTCCAAAAAAACAAGTAATTTGTCAAAATAATAAATATACTTGTCGTTCTTCAGGTAAATTTTGCAAATCGAAATACTATATGTCGTTAACTCTTGAAAATAAATAGTTAATACAAAATACGTCAATAACCGTTTGTACACATTTTTATCGTATATTCTCGCCTCCCGTCAATTAACGTAAAAATCTTTTCATGTAAATTATTAAATTTATATTTTCTGTGATTTTTGTCATTTGTTGAATCCATTTCCTACATTTTAAAATATTTTTTTATCTTTGTGCGGCGATACGTATTTAATAAATCTCTATAGTTTAATACAATTATAATGGAAAAAATAATCATGTTCAAAGATCTACGATTTATAGATACATTATTTTAAATTATTTGTACCTTGATAAAGGTGTCTGAATTTTTTTAATTATTTTTTAATATACTTATATATTATTATTAGCTAATCTTATAAATACGTATATATAGGTACTTAAGTTTATACTTAAATATATGTGATAATTATTTTGACTAGCTATATTGACATAATATTATGTATAATATTTAATTATTGTAATAGTATGATAAATCTATAATAGAGTATTTTAGTAAATCACGGAAGTAGGAAATGGTTACTGAAGCAATAATGACACGCCTTATAACACGTAATGTGACATTTAACTGTTTTTTGAGCAACCGATTACCATTTGAACTGCAATTTGAATTTATATGTAAATTAATGTTGGTACAAACGGTACAAACATTATACAACGAAAATAGGATTCAATTACTGTTTTGTTAATATAAAAAGTAGTAACATTGGAATATAAATGTATAATATATAAATGGTTTATTTTTTAGAATCAAATACTCGACCGCGTGAAATGTGATCATGTAACTGTTACAAAACCAGAAGAAGATCGACGGAGAAGGACCATAATTGTCGAGAAAAGAAATGGAAGTTATGGCTTTATGCTCCAAGTAAATATAATTGAGTACCTACATTTTTTTATAGCACGAATTTTTGATTGCCAATCGTTAATCATTACTATTTTTAAAATAAAGTAAATAAAAAAATTCTTTTTTTTATCGAATCAACGAAATTGCTTTTTATTTTTTGTTAACAACTATTTATTCTTTTGGTCTATAATTATTTACACGATTAATTCTATATTTTATAACATGGCATATACAATGTCATTGTCGTTTGTCAGTAACGTGTACAGTGTAGCTGTAGCGAAAAAAAATCTATGGTTAATGTTTAATATATTTCTTTAGTTATCATTAAATTCTAGGAATTTTTTAGATAGTGAATAAAGAACTGATACATATGAAGTATTTACATGTTTTATCTATTAAACTGACAACAAAGTTTACATTATTTTTTTTTGATTTATGACTAGTGAGTATTGTATGCTTATAAATCATAACAATTTATATAGGTACCTAGATAATATATTATTTACTATATTTTTAATGGTTTCTTTTTCTATAGAGTTATGGCATTCATTATAAAAAGGAGCAGGAGATTGAAATGATAACGTATGTGGATCACGTGGACTACGATGGACCGGCGTATAGAGCCGGGATGAGAGAAGGTAAATTGAATCGATTTTTCATATATTTGTGAACTAAACACAATAACTGACATTTTGCGTTTTGTTTTAGGTGACGTGATACTGTCAATAAATGGCGTCGATATGGAAAAGGCTGACCATAAAGCATTGGTAAGCTTTATAAAAAGCTGTGATTCACGAATGAGAATGGTGGTACTATTTGAAGACTGCGTGCGAAAGGTAATAATCGGAATAATTAAATATAATAATTGTATAAAGTCGTTATACACAATACATACATAATATTAAATTATAATATGTATGCGAGATAAATAAAAAAATAATTTATTTTCTATAGGTCGACTTACACATGAGATATATACAACTTCAGCGTACGCTTCAAGCCAAAGTCGAAGAACTGGAAAAGGTCGAAATCAAAGAGAGAGAGCTTATGGAAGGAAAATGGAAAACGCACAGTTTGCCGGCAAGAAAAAAGTCTAGTCATTCTTCTAAGGACACTGCCAACCAAAAAATATTGACTGAAAACGGTAATAACACAATATACGTTAAAAGGACTTAAACTATACTTACCTTTACTTACCATATTTGTTTCCATACTATTGCTATGCGAATAACTAATGTTACTTATATCATAGTCATTTATTTTTTATTTTATTCCCTCCAATCAGTTTTTGGCTTTTACTTTCGAGTAGTATGATAATATAATCTTATGTATAACACGTATAAAGTGGGGTTTTTCTTTAACCAAACGTAAAAATGAGGCATTTATTGAGAAAACTACGAAAACTTAATTAATTAAGTATAATCATCTGTGTTGTTGCATTTTATGTAGTAGAAGCTACGTGCGTTTCCGCATGCAGTGTGTACTCAGACCGCACACGTCATGTTTATGAGTTATTACTTATTATCCTACGTCAACTGCTGCAACGTCGTCGACACGGTTTTTTTTATTTATTAAACGTTGAACGAAATAGTCCTCACGGCGACATGGCATTAGTACCGACGGCATAGGTATTAATATTGGCGCAGCTATTACAAAACGATTGGACGGGTCAGTTAGAATTTTAACTTAAAAATATATTAAAATAATATGCAAGTACATTTCGTAAAAGCATAGTTTCAAAATAGTCAATATTTATTTTATTTATTTTTTTTTTAAATTTTAGTGGAAAAGTTTCACACTGGTTACAGCTATAGGTAGTAGTTTTAGCGAATAATTGGGTGTGTGCCCGGGCACAGCTCGGTTTCGAACCGGAACCGTGATGTGATATCTCAACCTGTCCGTGAATATTGTAATTCTTAACAGTCCTGTGGCCATTAAATGTTAATGTTATACTGCCATACTATATGTACCTACCTACCAAATAATAATGAATTTACATCAAGATAATAATTCCTATATTGCACTACTAACGATTTAAACATATTTTGTTTGCAGTCGGTGACAGATCACAGAAATCTACTCTTAAGATATTTTACAATTATATGAAACAAACTTGTTGTATTTCAGATAACAACATTTTAGTCTTATTTAATTTTTACAGGTTATTTGCGTTTCGAGATTTCGGTCGTGAATAACCTACTAATACGGAATGTTCCATAATTTATTTTGTGATACACAGCTAATATAGCCACACATATAGCAAAATAACTTAAGTATATTTGACTTTTTCACCGATAACGTTCCACGCGTAACGTTGAAAATAATTTTGAATTTTTAAGCAATTTTTAGGAAAAACAACCACTCTTTACACTCAAAATACCGCTCAAGTGCCTAATTTTCTAAGTTAATTTTTAGCATAGTTCTCATACCTAGCAATTAATTATTTTTGTACGATATGTATTATTATAGTTTGCTTATTAATTGTAGTTTGTATACTCATATTTACTAAAAACTAAAAAGGTTAGTTTTAAATTTGTCGGAAGTAATATTAATCTGTATGTGTGGATACAACAACGCAGATCAATGATGACTGAAAGCTGAAAATAGAATTCTCCAAGTAAGGTGATAGTCACACTTGACGAAAAACTCGTTTCAGGGATGGTTTAATATCTACTGTAATGAAATAAGCGGTTTAAAAGCCATGAAAATAAAAAATTAGGGTTGATATTTGTTTTATTTTAATGTATGCATTTATCATGCCTATCGTTTCATGCTAAGTACTGGAGATACTATAGCTTATAGAACTTATAGGACTCTATTATTTTTATAGTTTTATTAATTAAGCTTATTATTGTTCAAAATTTGTAACAGATGGCCTAATCAAAATTGTGTCAAAAATATACATGTATTTGTGTGTTATCAAACACATATCATACACATCGTGTATTGTAAAATAATATTTAAAAAATTACAACTTCAGTTATAACTATTAGTTAATATATAAACTTATAAAGTACATTTATTAGTACTAACTATTAAATGGTATAATATTAGTCAATAAATGAAATAGTTTTAATTAAAAAAGCATCATATAGGTTATATTTTGTACGTACTTTACAAATAACTAATAAAGTATAGGTAGTTAAGTAGGTAACCCACATAATATTTAAGCTTAATTTTGATTTAAAATATTTGAAAATTTTAATATTTGGAATATAAACTGGTTTGGACAATAATTGGCATCACAATTCAGATTTTTAGCTCCACATGATTTCATTTCATAATTATACTGCAAATACATTAATCATTAATTGGTTGATTATATTTTCATAATATTCAACAACTTTTTAAAATTATTATTGTTAATACGGTATAAATAATGTAATAAGTATGAATGTTATTTAAATTTTTTTATCAAATCAACTTTATCAATACTAACACTTAATAGTTGGATTATTATACAATGGTACCTATGCTTATATTTTATTGCTTTAAAGTTTCAACATATTATACTGATTAAATGATTATTAAATTACAGGTGAAAGTTCTATGTCTAGGCCTACATTATCGACTGAAGACGTGGCCAAAGCACAGCCAATTTATGTGCCCAAACAAAACTTTATGTTGGCTTATCGACCACACCATTTTATCGATCAGCACGGACGTTCCTACTACTTGCATCAGCCTGCCACTGCCATAATCAATGGAGATTCAAGTTACGTCGGTTGGCACAGGTAATTAGAATATGTTTATTGTATACACTACCATATACATCACAGGTCATTGAAATATAAACTACAAGGAAAAATACAATTCAAATTTTTAAAATCTGTTGTTCTTGTTCCGTGTTTAAAATTCTTCCAATGCCAGTTTTGGTGAAAAATAAATTTGTTGTAATTTTAAATAACAGTTAACTTTGTGTTAGAAATTGGTACCAGTTTTTTATGCAAAAATGAACAAGAAAAACCCCTAATTAGTAATTACTAATTAAATTACCGACCCACCTAATATTATGCTAATTTTAATGATGTAATATGAACTAGAAATCATGGAAATATATAAATGTAAATAGCATAGTCAAATACAATGGTATACTTATACCTTAATATGTAATATTTATTTTTATTATTATTACACTAATTAAATATTTTTTAAAAAAATACTAAATTCGTTACTTTCACCCGCGTGTTAATGTTACAGTTCTTATTCGTAATGTAAAATAATCATTATTCGTCGATGTTTGGGCGAACCTAATTGCTACAAAAATTATTCAAGCAATATCATGTCATTTAGTCGGCACTTACATGTACATACTTTAAATGTTAACTTTTCAAAGATACCGATATAATAAATAGGTAGGTACAAATAATTGCAACGGTTTGCGACATACATTTTTATGTACTCTTCATATTTCATTTATTTGATAATAATTACATGTCCAATGATATCAATTTCACATCGGCTCTAATAAAAAAAAAATTGCCGACCTCGTTCTGAAAAATAAAACGTGATACAATTCACATGTAGGTACCGAAAATTATTTTAATAATTTAGTCTTGATTTTCATATTATACATCATAATTATAAAAAAAATATTAAGTAAGTACAACAAATTGTATATGGTCCTATTCAACACCTTGCGTGTACTTTACTTTAATTAACCTTACTGTCCTTACTTAATTCTATATCATTATGTATAGGTATTATGATATTCTACCGGTTGTATCGTATGTCATTGTAAGCAGATTTTTTTTAACGATTATAGATCGATGAAATGGGATAATAAATTACCATAATAATATTTATTTTGATGGTTGGATGATAAAATTAAAATAATGAGTTATGTTTGACAACAATTTTGTAGGCATTTAGCCTAACAATTTTTTTAGGAGCTTCTCATTAGATTTCAGTGCATAAAAAGATAGTTGAAAGAAAAAATTATTCATCTCTTGTGAATAAAATGTATACCAATTACTTCAATTCAAAGTGTTATAGCATTTACTAAAATTTAGAGTACCATAGTTCATAAACTATAGTAAACCGAAATTGATAATTTGAGTATCAAAATTTTCAGAAAAAAACTTTACCGGAATCCATTAAAAAATATAGTTGTTACCATTTGATAAAATAAAGTTGATTTTTCTATTGGAACAACTGCGTGTTCGAAAATTTTGAAATTGTAATAAAAAAATGTCTTGTTAAAAATAAAGAAACACATCTTTTTTTGTTTTTTCGAAATTATATATCATTGATCCATTATCATTAAAAAACCCCTCGTACATGGATGATGGAGGAGGGAACGGCCATTTTCCGTTTTCGTTGCGAGGTCAAATATCTTTTCCCTTTGGGCTCTATTTCTAGTAGTTGACTTATAATTATAGTATTATACTGTATAAAATATAATATTATATACTTGTTGTCATAGGCATTTAATAATGATCTAGAGCCTTTCTATAGCCTCACTGAATATAGTGACTATAGTTTATATAGACGGAGATGAGTGAGATGACGCATAATACAGTAATAATTAATTTTTAACATTTGGCAAATTCAACTACATTATAATTTTTGCAAGTATTTATGTGAGATAAATAATAAGCGAAGTCCTAATTCTTATCGTATTTTTAATTTATGTGATAGGTAACTTTATAAATAGTATCACATGCATAGTTGCCAATACGAACATACTATCAATACTTTTTTTATGATTATTCTTATATTCATCTTCATGTGTACGATTTAAAATCTACGTAACGCATAGGTCACGCTAGGATAGTCCCATTTGCAGTTTTATGTTCTATTGTCCATGGTGACATATTTTGGGACACTAAAATTTCCTGTCTTTAGAAAATAGGCTAAAAATAACGAAAATAATTTTTTGTTGACGCATCATAATTTTTACTACCTTAATATTCTACTGTGGGGAACATATTTTTTTTCTGATTTCTATACTTGTGGTGCACTGGGACAGATAACCAGAAAATAATGGAAAAACGAAGATATATTATTGTTAATATTGTGGCGGAGGACATAATATTATAATTTATAATCACCACGACACCAACATAATTCAGCTCAAACACATTCGCCAACTGTTCTCTCTACCCGGTTCTTTTTTCTTCTCGTTTTGACCTAAACATAATATACGGCCATCAATGTATATGACCTATAGGCGTCAATCATCAACGCGTATACATACTAATCGTTACCGTGTATTTTCAGCAATCGTTCAATTAACAGCAGCAAAAGCTGCGACCAACAGGAAAACTGGGCGCCACCGGATCAACCGGTTCAGCAGAGGAGACGATCGCATTACGTGGTGGAAGTCAGCCGGCGGTGCAGTACATCGTCGGACGTGCCGAATCGTTCGCAGCAACAGCAGCCTCACTGCAAACAGCACAACTTCACCAACAGAGCATCGCAGCGGTCTTCATCTCAAGGTAAATTCGGATATCTGGTATTGATGACATGTCACATGTACATACGCGTTCGTATAATGTTATGTGTTATAAATAATAATGCTCATATACATATCATTTTTTATCTCAATATACGTCGTCGAAATAAAAAATACCATGGAAAGATTTTACTTATCACGAATTTCATATATTATATAATATTATGAATTATGCGCTACGTTCACGGGAGCAATTTGATGAAAATATATTTTTTTCTGTAGATTTATAGACGATTTTAGAATAGAATATTATATTCTAACCCTAAGTATATACATGAATCCCTTTCGGTGGTGAATCTAATCTTATCCCCTTATCGCCTTCCTTCTTCATAAAGACCCCGAATTGCGTCTATGCGTGCCAATAATATAATAATAATTATGTGTTACTCTGCAATAATGGTATATGTATAGGTAATGTAATTACAGTAGAACTTGTACAACTCGAAAAACATGTATATAGAAACATATAAATTATAAAAACATACTTATTTATATGATAATATATAGTATGTAATTTACCTGAAACGTCCTAAGAAAAATAACTTACTCCCGCCAACTGTTCCAACATGACATTGAAACTATGTATTTGCTTTTTTTCCCCCTCGATTGATTTTCGAGTTGTAAAAGTCCTGCTGCGGTCGCGGCCGCGTAAGTGCGTAACACGTGGCGTTATTTATACCTATATTAATTTGCTTTGGAGCCGCTTTGCACCTTTACACTTACACTTTACACTCGCTCACTTCTCGTATGTATACTTAAATATAACACGACAGGCGGTGGTGTATTTATTTTCATTTTTCTACTTCTTCTTCATGATCTTTTTCTTCTTCTTCTTCTTCTTCTTCTTCTTCTTTTCCGTTTTTGTTTGTTTGTTGTTTCCTATATGCTTTCCGGTGTAGGCGATAACTGTCCGCGATGGGGTTGCATACGTACCGGTGGCGGCGCATCCGGTCGACGGAGGAACGATGGCGGCGGAGGACACGACGCCGACGACGACGACGATGACAACGACGACGACGACGACGATGGAGGCAGCGTGGAGGCATACGATCTGGCGGCGGACGGCGGGGCGGCCTGCTGCCCGGGTTCGCAGTGCGTGCCCACCAGGAGACATCGGCGCAGGCGCAAGTCATCGTCGGCGCGTGGCGTCCGCGACAAAAGCCCAGGCAAGCTACGACTGCTGCTCCAGCGGTCCCGGGGACCTCGGTGTTGGCCGCGTTGCTTGTCGCTGTTGTTTGGCGGATGCCGACTTAGTGGTTGTTGTTGTGGTTATGGTCTTCGCACACGCACTTGAAATCGTATACAATATAATGTTTAATACGCACCCAACGACAAATACGCATTATATTTTCGTTGTTATTGATGTTGTTATGACCTATATTAGTTGGCGGTATCGTAGACAGTATATTATATAGTAATGTTGTAGTATACCTAGTATATAGTATAAAACATTATTGTTATTATTATATAGATAATATACCTTAAGTATAATATACCACACACGCGTCCTCTGCCCACCCGCACCCCATTTACTTACAGAGCTGCACGACGCACGTCTATACGCCTATACTAGATAATAATATTATTACATGTTTATATATATATATTCGTCGTTGTCTTTTTTCCATAATATATTACATACCTATAAAATAATACTTTTTTTCATATTTTCCTTTTATCTTTTTGTTTTCTCAAATATTTTACTCCGATAACATACAAATATCATGTTATAATTTATGGACCATACTATTGTGAGCATGATAGGTTTGTATGTATAAGTATATATATCCGCATACACCGGCGCATTATTGTTCGTTTTTATGTTTTTGAGTTTTCGTTATTGTTTTTTATTTATTTTTTGGATAAGTAATTATTGTAGGCAGTGCTTGAATTGAGGGACACAAAATCTATCTTCTAATTGTATCCTAATGAATAAGACATTTTTGATGTTTGGATTCGTACATTTTTTTCAACACTTTTACATCCCCCTTCTGTTTTTTTTCCCAATTCAAACTCTAAAGCACCGTGTATAGAAAGGTAATATAATGGTGTTAAAGATTGCAGGTGTAGATTTTGTTATGCCTTTCGACGTTGTCGCACGCACGTTTCCTACAATGTTCCCATCGTTAAAATAATGTATAAACATTGTACACAAACAACGAGTAGGTACTTGCATTTTCTAATGTTGTTTGCACCTTCCCAGTCAAAAACAGAAATCATTATCCAATCGTCATCGCAATAAAACATAATATTATATTATGATTATTAATGTTCCCGACCCCGTCCCTCTTTAATGATACTCCACCATGCAGTTACTCGCGTGCTCGATATTACCCACCTATATAGTAGTTTTATATTACGTTCGAACTCGTTAATATTTTAATTGTTTTTTTTTTTCATTCGTGTATTTTATAATTGTATAAATTATATCACCTCTTTTTATGTCTTTTACGCGTGTACAAGTTTTTTTGTTCGTATGAACACGTTGTATAGGTACACCTATTCGTGTGAGAAATATATTATTTTATACATTTAAAACAAATTATTATAATATTATTATATTATATATAATAATAGATATTAAACGCATGGATTTATACGTTTATTATTATTTTTTAGCTGTGTCTTGCATGCCAGTAGAGTTGATGGTTTATGTGATACACTAACTGCAGTGGCGTAGCCAGGATTTTGCTTTTGGGGGCTGATAATTTGTTACACTGGAATCACATTTTAAACTTTTAAATACAAGTTACAATTTCAACACTTAAGGTTACGTATCGTAATTCATTCACAGAACACTGAAAACGTTTTTAAATTTTTCCGGAAGTTCTACAGCCCCCTCACTGTCCACTGGCCACGCCGCAAACTAGTAAACTAGTAAAATAATACTATATTGTACATATGGATAACTGTACTTGTGACATGTATTATATCATCGAATGCGCCTGAATTAAACTTAAAACAAAGAATGATGATGTGCATCTCGTATTTAAAAAGTAATTTAATATCAAAATTATCAACTATAGCCTATATAGGTATATAAAGTTGCACTTTGTCACACGAAACATGGGCATAAATTGCAATATGCATTTTTAATTAGCTCTTAAAGGGCAAAAAGTTTATAGGTGTCAGACATATATGGTGGGTATTTTTAAACATATTTCGTTTGTGCGCTTATCCAGATTCTAGCTTGTAGAGCCAAATCACTTAGGTGTGAAAGGGTCACCTCTAGCCAACAATTTAAAACATGGTGTTCGCATTTCGTTTTTATGTGGGTTCATTGACACAGAACTGGAGTCGTTTAAATTATTCTATCATGCTTTAACTAAAAATATGTTTGCATGTATGATGTACCTAACTAATCGATGTAAGTAGTAATTAAACGTGACAGCCGCTAAATAAAAGTACATTTAATAGATACTTAGCTATTTTACAAAATCTCAACATTTTTATTAAAATATTTTTACCATATTTTATGATCCTTTAAATTTATTATTTTTTGAATGACTTGCACTTTAATTTCATATTCCGTTCCGTAGCAGAATAATTTTTGGAGTACTTCAGTACAGAACAATTTCAAATTCTCAACGTTAATTAGTTATAATAAGTATTGAAAGTTTCGATGAGTGAAGTGGTGGTTCAACATTTTGCAGAGTATCTAATCCGTTCACTTAAATTTAAAAAATAAAAAATATCCTGCTTCAGATTATCAATATTAAATGTTTGTAATATATCATATAAGTGAAAACTTAAAAAATTATGACTAATATAAATTGCAGTAATAATATCTTTTTTTTCAAATGTTGGTCTGCAATGACATTAAATTTTGTAAATAAAATATTTGAAAAAAGTGTAGACATTCATAAATGAACCACCTTGTATGTACCTACCATAACATAATATAACACATATACAGAGGATTCACTAAGTACGTGCACAGCTCTCCCATTTTTTTCTTTAATAACTTCCATTCAAATTCAAATTTTTCAATTTTTAAATCTACTTAAAGACTGTAGATTTTCGAATTCTTTAATTTTCAGTAGAAAAATTGAAGTTTGTTTTTTCGTAGGCTACTCTATAGTTTAGCACAAAAAATCTCAATATTTTGAAAATATATTTTCAAATTTCAAAAATCAGATTTTGATTAACTACATTATTAAGGGGAAAAAAGAGGGTGAGCTTCTTTAGAGAATCTATCTACAGTATAAAAGTGTACACATTATAATACGAAGCAATACCATTATATCGTTGCTGTTTCTAGTATTTTTGTTATATTATATTGTCATGTACGACACGTTTATAATTCGAAAAATCGGTGTTGGGTGTTGTGTGTGTTCGCAGACTGCAAATCGGAGAGTTCGTACTGCCGGAAGGGACACGAGAAGCGCCGCAACTCTACCAGGAACGAAGCGCCCGACGAACACAACCCTTCGCTTCAACACCTTACCGGTACCGGCGGTAATCATGGTTACTCCAATCTAGTGAACGATCGGTACGCGTCGGACGAGCGTATGTGCCAAAGTACATCGATCGGCGGGGGAGGCGGCGGAGGCGGCCGACCTTCGCAAAACAGTCTGACGGAGAACAGCCCAGCGTCGTACACGACGTCGCTAAGTACGGACACGCTGTACTGGGACGACGACCCGATGGCCGCGGGTCAGCCGTCGGCCGCATCCCGGCAGCACTCCGTCAAGTCACAGTCGTCTTCGACGTACCGGCGTGACAACTGCGCCGTCAAGCCAGTCAAGTCGTGGGACAACCTAACCACCAAAGCGTTCGGTGGTTACGGGTTCGGTTACGAGTATTTGGATCGCGACCAGATTGTCAACAACGGCGCCGGCGCAGGCGGCACGGGTTCCGGACAGCATCACATGGTGTACCTGCAGCTAAAGAACGTCAAGGGCGGACAGAAACACCATGTCGGCCCACCATCACCACCATCACCACAACCACCAACACCCGCAGCAGCAGCAGCAGCAGCAGCAGCACAACCTCCAGCAACAGCAGCAACACAACCATCACAACAACAATCAACAGCGGTCCAACCACAACGGCCACCATCACCACCGCCACAACGCCGGCGGCCGGATCCGTCACCCGACCAAGTCCACGGAGACACTGCTCACGCTACCGCCGCAGTACCCGATCACGGCCATCGAATCGTCGGCCAGCTGCGAATACTTGGACGCTTGTTCGTCGTCTTCGTCGTTGGCGGCCGGCGGTTACTTCGCTGGTTACGTCAGGAACGACAAGGCCAGTCAGACGGACTGCCGGAGATACGCGGCACAACATCAGCAGCCGCCGCCCGAAGTGACGAGGCTCTGATGAGAATCTCCAACATCACATTATTATTGTATTTTAATTATTATTAATTTATTGTGTTATCATTTTTTTTTAAATTTGTATTTTGTACCGCGTCTATTCTATTGTACTTCGGTTTTTTACGCGATGGGAAATTTTACTATAAAAAATGTTAGGTATTAAATTATATCCCCGCCATAGTGTGATTTTTTTCTAAGCTCATACTTTAGTTATATTTACGAAAATATTATTATACAATCTCCTCATATTTATCTCTAGTCATCAATATTATATAATATTATATTAGTAATTACTAATTAGTATATTACTATTATTATCAGAGTCTTAAGCTACGCGTCCGTTATTTTATTACTAATCATATTATTATTATTATTATTATTATTATTATTATTATATTATTCTATTGAATTAGGTCTTAAAATATAATATATAGTGTGTCACTCATATCGTTTCTTATTTTATAATATTATGTTTGAATTTTTACTTAAGCCGTGAAGTAGTAAAAAAATAGTAAATGTATTTTTACTGTTTTGTAAGGGGGTCGTTTTTTTTACCTAGATAAATTCTACATCAGTGGTCCACTGCTTCGCGCAATGTATTATGTTTTTTATTTTTTATTTACACAAGTGGAATAATTATTTGATTTTATTAACTTTGTAAATGTTTTCCTTTTTAATAATGATTTTCTCACTAAATCCAGTCATCGATAGGTATACACCATACCGAGTCCATGCAAACTCATATACATAATATAACATATTTCAAACGTGTTTGTTTTGTTCTGGGGGATCGTTTTTTAACCGCAATAAATTCTACACCAGTAATAGTTCCGAACCAGGTCCACTCCTTCACGCGATATATAATGTGTTTTTTTTTTTAAATTTATATTTAAGCTCGAGAATAATAATTATTTGCTTTTATAAACTTTATAAATGATTTCTTTTTTGATAGTCAAGTTTACATTGAATCGTACTTGTATATGTATATATATTGAGATATTTTATATTACATCAAAAAATAAATGTAATCAGAAAAATCAAAAACAAATGAAACCAAAGTTTTCTGTAGTATAATATATTAATATACCTTTTGTAAGTTAGTTCAAACCATAAAATAAATGATACATGATTATGATACCGTGTAGTGTTTTTATGTATTGGTGGCTCAAAATATATGGTTCATTATGGTCACATAACCATCAACGACAGTATCGGAGGGCATAATATTTCACTGTTGTAATTATAAAAAAAAAAAACGTGTGAGAAACGTCGTTAACCCTGGGCGCTACGAATGTGCTGACAACATTTTGGACGTCTGTTTAAACCTATAAAATCTCGAGTAAACGTACTTACACCAGTGTGTATCATTATTGTTCGTCAATCATCGATGATTATGGAAGGAGGTATTTGGATTTAATATATAAAAATGTGTTAGTCACATGTTTTAGTTCTTTTTAGTTGGTATGACAAAATTGTACTTACCTATGCTTATTGAAATATTTTTATCATACAAAGTTGTGAGATTCGCTGTTAACCCTATACGGGCTATGGATGTATTGACAACATTTAGGGTATCTGTTTGAACCTAAAATTAAATTTGTAATTTAAGCAAACGTACTTATACTCGTTATACTTAAATTACTGATTTTATAGATTCAAACATACAGTGCTAATACTTATACTTGTACTCGTTAACTCGTATGTATCTTTGTTGTTCGTCAAAATCATTTGCAATGATTATGAGAAGGTATGGCTTTAGTATATAAAAATACATTAGACATTTTTTAGTTTTTATTAATTGCGATTTATGTGTCATAATAAAAAAACCACTCCAAACTACGTTGTTACTGCTGGGTAATTTATCGTCTCTCGTATAATCATATAAATTATCCATTCACATATTCTGCGTCAAGTTTGTAGTTAATAGTTGTTGATCCAAAAACCACACACTTTAGATAGGTTAAAACCGAACACTTGTTTAACCTTGTTACTTGTATTGTTGTAGTATCCAAAAACCGCACACTTTATAATTACTCTAAAATGTATTAATTCTAAAATTTGATAATATGTTATTTATTAATTATATATTTATTTAAATTTAAAAAAAATACAATACAAATTTTACTTTTTTTACACGTTAAAAAACAATTTAATCTATTTTGTAAACATAATTCATTACATCATACAACATACATCGCTGGTTCTGTAGATTAAAAACAATGTGAGGGTTTATTTCACGATATGTGTGCAATTTTTCAGGTTTTTGTACATGGGCATTTCTTAGAAATAACGAGTGTGCGGATTTTGGATGCAACCGTATGAATTAATAAACAATACATGCACTAAGAAAAAATATCTTAATCCAACCCACTTTTAAAAAAAGTTATAATTTTTATTTTTATCTATTTTTTTTTTAATTAGTATGTAACTGAATCACATATTAAGGATGGTTCCTATCTAGCTTGCATATAAAATATTATTTCTATTTAAAACCGTGAATATACAGTAATTAATGTGGGAAAAAATTACTATAAAAAATTTCAAAAGCATTTTTCATTTTCACTTGAACAGATGGATTATTTTTTAATCAACTGAACAAAGCCAAGTTATTTCAAATCAAACTTGTTAAGTTAATACAAATATTAGCTAACTAGTTAAGTTAAAAGGTAAAGAAAAAATTAACTTTATAATTATTTAATGCCCAACTTTGCTTGTTGTATATAAGTACAGACTCCAGAATAGTGTTTAATTTATTAGTGTACTTCAAAATTTTTTTTTTAAAAATGATACAATAAGTTTGAATATGCATGAGGTGCCTACAACTATAAATAACATTATAATTTCATAACAATTTTTGTCATATTAGTCGATTTAAAATTAAAAAACATATTTGCATTTTAATGACTCAGTTGCCGATAATGTTGTACGAGTTTCACGATTTCCGTCGAGATAATAATATAATACCCGGTAATAATAATATAACGACGCCATTATCGGTATCCTGACAAACAATGTCGGATGATTGCGATGAATATTGTCGGCTTATATATTTCCATTACTCGGCACAATAGTCAATAATAATTAATAATATTATGTATTATTGTCATGACCGAACTAATGTAACGTTATACCCGCACGCTGGCGAGGTTGGAGGCATATCTATTGGCTATTATATTATACCCAGGTATATGCGACATCGTGGAACACTGCGGTTAACTGGTTATTAATCCTAAACATATTATACTCATTGTCATTCGACACACCATAGACGTTTAAGAACAACCTATATAGACGTAGGTAGGTTAAACGCATATAATATATTTCTGGCACGAGTACAACAACTTACTAACAGCCGTTTTATATTTTCATTCCGTCGTAGGATTTAATAAAAATAAAAAAAAAATTTTAAATGTGTATATAAAGCAATATTAGTTATTCGATTTCGTGCTAAAGTATTTATTTATGTTTTTGCTGTACTTTTTAATAAAAACGTAGCAACAACGCATGTGGTGAGTGCATTACACTGTTTGCGTACCTACATAAATCAATTGTTAGTATCGTGTATTGTACAGTTTTTTAATAATGTATATTATTAGGTATATCGTATTGTTAATTCGCGGCTTCTTCTTCGTTTGCCGTGTTTTCTTTCGTGGACAAATAATTTTTGGCCATATCTTGAGCCTGTAAAAATTAACTAAATAAAATTACGGCGATAAACTGAATAATTGTGTTCGTTATATTGTATAGGTACCTACAATATAATTTTCTGCTCACAGTGTTATAAATACTTATAATTATTATAATTATGTTATAGGACTCACGTCCGTCTATTGAAAAATAAATGAATAAATAAATAAATACCATAGGGGAATTCTTCAAGATGCATTTCATGAACACGTAACCGGCTGTGCAATGAGTATTTACTTCTGCAACAGAGACATTTTAACTCATGTTTAGATTTATAATATACTATATAAACAGGGTAGAATGTAGATTGATGTATACAAAATAATGTATAGGTTAATAGGTAATACACAAGACGTATACTAGTCAGTGCCGTAGCCAATGTCATTGGGAGGGGGAGAACTTATTTTTTTCTAGTTATTTTAAAACTAGAATATCTATTGCATATCACCCCTTATGTTACACCATTGTTCATAAAAACAATTTCGGGGGGACGCACTCGCCCACAGTGCCCTCCTGGCCATGGCACTGATAGTAGATGTATAGCACGACTATGAACAAACTTAAAATACGGCGCCAGATCGGCGTACCTTGGTTTTGGTGGGCCTATCAGTTCCCGGCAAATCAGCATCGGGATAACCCCCCCCCCCCACGCTCTGAACTGATTTCACTAGCTTGGATACACGGGTATTCGGTATATTTTGAACGTGCTTATAGACCCTTAACATTTTACTTCTAAATACCTCTAAGACCAATCTCTGAAACTTTCGTAAAAATCGATCAAATAGTTTTAGAGTGTATAAGCTAATCAAGCATTGTCGCTTTTGTTGTACATTTTCATAACAATAAACAATTGAGTATTAAGTATTATTTTTAATTTTTAATTATTAGAAAAATTATAATCTAACATTACCGAAAATTGGAAATATATGTGACTCTCTTATTGAATAACATATAGGGAAGATTTTTCTCCAGATTTTATATTTTCAACGAAATACAGATATCCATTGAAAATATGTGTATCCTCAGAAATGTTCACAGCAAAATATATTATTTTAAGGATAGCCGCCACAGCGCCACCTGATTTACATACCCTAAAGCAGTGTTTCCCAACCGGTGGTCCGCGGTACCTTTCTTAGTTTTCTATTAAAACTGCAAAATGACTCTGACTGCAAAAATATGTTTGATTCTGGTATGAACCTTGAGGAATTTTGGTGCAGAAGGGCAACATTACATATTCAACTACGGGAAATTGCCTTACGTTATTTAGTAGTATTTTCAACTACGTATTTGTGTGAACAAGGATTTTCCTACTTGTGATCAAAAATAAACAGAGAAATCGCTTGGACGTAAGTGACGACATGCGTTTAGCCATTAGCAACATTCATCCGAGAGTTGAAAAACTGGTCAAAGAAATGCAGCCACAAAAATCACACTAAGTAAATTATTAGTAAAGTTTAATAATTAAATAATTATATATAATAGTACAGTAAAATAATAAAAATTTTTCAATAAATTTTGTGTATTCTTGTTAATGAGCAAAAAAAAAAAAAGGTTTCCTAGTTTGTGTAAAATTGAGGTGGTCCGCGACCTATAAAATATTGTGGAAGTGGTCCGTGGTGGTAAAAAGGTTGGGAAACACTGCTCTAAAGCAACTTATATAGGCTGAAAAACGAAGCAAATAACACTGCCCGAATCTCAAAGAATACGTTCCACAATTCACTGACAATTGGTTCAGTAATTTCATAATTGTTATATACTCCATAAAAACGTACATCAATTTATACATACAGAGTGGTTCACCTAGCAAGATCATCCCCATTTTTCCTTTAATAATAAAATTATTCAAATTCTGATTCTTAGGGTTCTCAAATAGTCAAATAATATACCCCAGGTACCTACTCAAAGACCATTTTTCAAGTTCTTGATTTATTTTTGTACTGCTTAAGGAGTATACTGTGGTGATAAAAACGTTTGTTTTTTACTGTAAATTATTAAGTAGATTCTTATTTTGAAAATATTGATGTTTGAACTAATTTGAACGAATAGATTTTATTTATTAAACATTTTATTCTATAAAGAAAATAGTTCTTAAAATGGTTTTATAAAAATATAAAATAGATGTAGAATTGGAATTCGGAACCAGTATTTATTATACTTGGACCATAATTTGAATTATAAATATTGATAGATCTATATAAATTACAAAACAATTTTAACTATCATTGCCCCCGTACTTTCCAAACTCATTTTCGTGGAGCTATAAATATTTTTTTAGTAAAATTAGTAAATTCACGAAGATAATATCTTCATATCCATTCATTCTACATATTATGTAACTCTAAAACTATACTTCTTCAGTCCTTCGAATTTTGATTTCGATATGTCAACATTTTCAAAATAATGATTTGCAAAATAATTTACAGAAAACAAAGGGGGTTCTCATTTAAAAAATAAAAGGTTGTATCACTACAAGACACTCCTTAAATATTACAAAAATCCCAAGAATTTGAATAAATTCATTATTAAATGAAAAATTGCTAATGGAGCTCGGTGAATGAACCTGTATAATATTATATAAATAGATAATAATTTTGAAAATCGATTTGGGGTTTTTTTTTCATACAACGCGACAATACTTGACTTTTTATACATTGTATATATACGTATATCAAGTAAAAGTTTTGCACGACGTGTGATTTACATAACACAATTATGGGCGTTATACTATATTATTACATACGCGGTCATTAAACTGTGAGTAGTGAGTAAAGAGATTTTTTTGTCATTCTACTCTATAATGTACGTCGTATTATCATCTTTAGCCGCTTTACGTCACATCCGCACGACCGGCAGATTTCGAATACTCGTAAATCGGTCGAACGATAATCGCTAGTTGTCGAAGTCACCTAGTGTCGTGTGTAGGTACTAGGTATCGTTAGCGAGTATAATATTATAGTAGGTATATCCCGCATACTATATTGTTATTATATTTTCGTAACGAGTATAGGAAAAGGTTAATAACCGGTTTTAAGATTTGAAAATATGTCGGCTATTAAATTGTATAATCATTATTATTAAGTAAATTACGTCAGAAAAAAATGCTATTTTCGCAGCAAATTAAAAATTAATTAAGGTGTTTAAATTTGTGTGAATAAAATACAATATAATAAAATACTTTAAAAGTTTCAAGTGCCCATGAATAATATTTTTAAATTATAACAAAATAACTGAAATTGTTATTCTTTGATAATATGCCCAAATATTAGTTTAAAATATTTAAATATGTATCAAAAAACCGTGTTAGTGTTATTTACATCATAGATAACTTATGAACAATCGTGTTTAAAATTTTCAATACTCCTCTATTAAAATTAAAAAATTTAAACCTATTATATATTCATGACTGATGAATTTTGAAAAAATTTGAACATTAAATGCTCATAAGAAAATCGTGCTATATATCTTTAATATTTTTAAGCTGTTAATATAACAACTTATTATAAGCAACCTTGAACTAAATTCTCAAGATTTTTGTTTTTTTGTTATTTTTATCAATATTTATAGAAAAGAACTAAAACACACTGAACATTTCAAGTGTCTTTAAATAGCCCAAAAAGAGTCAAAATATTTTTAAATCATTGTTTTGTATGAAAAATCATATAAATATGAAAATTTAAGGTACCCTATGTTTATTGATATTTTTAAGAAAAAACAAAAAAACAAAATCTTTTTTGTCGAAAACTGTTTTTGCGAAGCTTCTGAAAACTTCTTTAACTATTATCAACTTTGACTTTTCAAAAGTACCAACTTAATCCAATTTCTTACCAGAAACAACCTACAAAGCTTAAAATCAAAGCATTTTTTTTCACTTTTCGTGTACATAAACACAAAAAATTAAAATGTTTATAAATCAAAACTTTTGTGCACAGTCTGATAATATAATACTATATGTTTATAATTTTATACTACGATAAAATAGTATTTAAATATCATCATTACCATCTACGCAGTGAGTTTGCATTATGGTCGACTCGTTCCTGAGCATTTCGTTTTCCATCAATTCCGATAACACTTTAAATCTGGCCCAGTTCCACTTGCCAGTATCCGTGTTCATCTAAAATAGCAATGAAATCGCAAATGTAACATTACGATACTGCACTACAATAATAGTGTACACATTATATTATGTACAATTCTATACAATAGTAATCATACCGTTCCCATTTTCTTCGCCACGCATGGTCCGAGGCACTAAAAAATAAAATATTATTAATCTATCAGTTTCGCTGAACTTCCGCGAAAACCAATAATTATCTATCATATAATATGCACACACTGATCAGTGTCAGACCACGTAACGCCGTCTGTCGTGTCATGTCCAAAAGTTGAGATCTGCACATCACTAAGAAATTTCTCGGTAGATCGTGGTTAGTGACTAGATACCAGATGATTGCAACAGCCAACCAGAATACGATAAAGCACACGACACGACAGGTGACGTGCGAAAGCTGTGAACCGCCTTAAGCCAGCAGTATAAGAGTCGTACGAGCTAGGTAGGTTACGGACATGATAATTTCAAGATTAATGGTAGTTGTATATAATATGTGTGCGTGTATAGTACGTCTTTGCATACAATCGATAGTTGGTACTGTTTACGACGAACTTTTTATGTTTTATATTGTTTTACCAGGACTTTTTACTTTTTTACAGGGAATAAACACAATTCTTCGTATTCGTCGAATATACAATTATAATGTATTGGTAACGTATAATATGTAAAACACTTTTACAAGGTATTATAAATAATTTGGTTAAATTATTATAACCATTATTAAACGATATAGCCTATATTCAAGTTATCGAATATATAAATGTATGTAAGAGAGTGCTTACTCTCTGTTAAAATAATTTATGAACATTTGTACATAATATAGTCTTTCAACCGTTCCATACGCGAACGAATAGTGTAGTGAAACGGTGGTGGAGTAGAGATGCAGTGTGGGGCGTAGATTTGATGGTGCGGCCCCAGAATAGTTTACAGTTTACACCAGCGGTTCCCAACCTTTTTCAATTTACGCCCCCCTTTTAAATTTACTAAAATCTCATCCCCTCCCCCCCTTAAATTAGAATTTAGGCGAATTTTTTTTTTTTGTAAGCGCTACAAATAAAACGTATAAATTAGAATCTAAAATTTACTATTTTGATAATACTTGTAAGTTATAGAAGTTAGAATATATACACACCTTGCAGCTATCGTATTTCTTATCATTGTGATCTTTGTCCTTCATCAAAAGTTCACCGCAAACGTCTATCGATGATCAAACAAATAATATAAAGTAATAATGGTTTCATATTTATTTAAAAGGGCCTCTGTACAATTAATATTCTTTTCTAAAATATTTTTCAAAACGCATAAATAATAATACAGTTTAATATTACCAGGATTCACGTCCAGTTCTTGCATACACGTAAACACGTTATCTAACATGTCATCTATGAGTTCACTTTGGTTGTTATATTTTTTTTCGGCACTTACCTGAAATACAAGTCGTTTTTCAAAACATACTATACATTCTTATATTACGCATCGATATCAAATTATTTTAATTCAGTATTATGTGTAGAAAAAGAGATTGATTGGTAGAAGGTACCGGTCAGCTGAGGAGGAAATATTGTAAATTATAAATGTATGATTATAATGTTAGACACAGACAAGTGGACACCATTTCATTCTTAACTTATTAAATAAGATAGAACTATAGGGGTAAATATTAAATGCGTTTTGATATTGGGTTTCAATTATTTTTTAAATCTTTGTGTTTATTTTTCTGCTCTATCATATTGTATTTACTTGTTTCAAAAAATGAATGAGTATAATATAATTGTTACCGAAAGCTAATTAAAAAAATAAATAATAATAATAATAATAATATAATTGTATAAGACATAGGTAGGTATAGAAGTAAATATTAAATACCAAAATCTTTTCTTTTTTAAAATTAGTTTTATTTAAATACGAAATTAATCAACTTCGTGTATAACAAGATAGCTGGTAACCATAATTAATTCACAAATATTATATTATACCTATATTATATTGATACTCACAGTTATCACCGAAATAGCCGACAAGAGACAAATCAACAGAATTTTGGTAAACATATTTGTATTGAAATATTTTATTTCGCACGAACAACGTATCGTATGCAAATGAAATTACTGATCAATGGAAAAATAATAAGCATTCTAGTTTTATACTCAATGCACCATTTAACAGGAAATACCACACTTTATTCAAATAACAAATTTTTGATTTTATCAAAAATTTCTGTAAAGGTAATTTAATATTACCTGTATGAATAACATTTAATTTACTTCATTTATTCGCCGGATGTTTTGTTCAACAATGTCGTTCAATTCATTGTAAAAAACGTATAAACACAAATTACGTAAGTTCTAGGTACTTTCATCAGTCGTATTAATAATTTAATATACTAAAGAGTAAATATATCAGTATGACGAAGCCAAGTTTTTCTAGATCGAAAATTGCAGACTTAAAATATCTCAAATTAACACAAAATAAAATAAATCTCAACTGACAATATTGAATCAGTATACGATGTTTATATAATATACTGACAAATATTTTATCGACTGTAAGAGGTGAATTTAAAAAATTAAAATGTTCAAAAAACAATACTTATACCTACATCAAGTTTATATACGATTATTGTTTTTAAACAGCTTTAAAAGGTAGAACTTACATACATCCATTAAGTGAATTATACCTACACCTTTCTTCTACAAATAAAAACAACGATTTAGAATGTAAAATAATCCTTGGCAATATGTCTAAACATTCTAAACTCTATAAAAAAGGTTATTAATTGGTTATACAATACACGTCATAATATATGGAGAGATCTATATAACATTAGACACTCATTAATACAGAAATCTATTAATGATTATAAAAATTAACTTGTTTCACATAATTTTAAATCGTTACTAAATAAAATTTTGGGAAAAAAAATATTTTATTCTATTTTTTATCAATGGGTATTCAATTTTAAACGATTAGTTATCACGAGTTATAAGTACCTATTTAAAGTTTGATGAGCGGAATAAAACGTGGAGTACCCCCAAAAAAGGCTTGTCAACTCAAAGTTACTAATCCAAAATTCGTTTTTATAAATATTGAGGTAAAAAATATTCTGCTTTAAAATAAGGAATTAAAAACGTATGATTTTCATTAAAAAAAAGAAAACGTTGAAAATACGATAACGATAATTAATTAATTTTTTTTTTGCAAAACGTTAATAGTTTTTGAAATAACGGTATGGATATATTATAAATAATATATTATAAGCGACTTAGAGCTAGAATGTGTGAATAAATAATAATCATATCTATACGTTGTTGATAGTTGGTAAACTAATTTTTATTAAAATCGTGAGGGGAAGGTGCAAATTGTCAATTGATAAGTCTACCTGCTACCTCTCGTATTTTCGATATTTAAGAGAAATTCTTCCATTCAGCTTTCTTCTTATACGCATACAGTATACAATACATATTGTATATGATAATTTCTTTGCATACATCATGCTCAATAGCATAACATAACTCTAGATTTATTATAATATAGGTGAACAAATACAAAATAAGCTTTCAAATATATATATATAATATTCAATATTAAATAACATTGTTATAATAATTTATAATACAAATATTTCCTTATGCACATATATTTGTAAGTACAAACCGGCCTTGTGTGATATTTGTGATATGGCGTGTTTAATCCGTCACTCATATATCGGCATATCGCATGGAATATCAGACATAATATATTATGTTAAATAATGTGTAAAAATAATCAAGTACATTTTAATATATTATTATATGCATGCAAAAGTGTCAAACAATGGAACTATTGACGTTATTGAAAATAATGACGAAATGATAAGTAGTTTATTGTGCAGATGGCTGCAGACCTTCGTTTGAATATTATTACCTACGTTTCTCCTTGATTTTGTTATTTCATGTGTCAGTAAATAACCCATTTTTAACATAAAATGATAATCATCTCTGTTGCGTGCATACTGCAAGGATCATGGTCCGGGTTGGGTTAAAGATAATAAAAAAACTATGTGTGTTTTTTGTTTAAATAAATAATTGTTTAAAAATCAGTTTTTATAATCAGTTTTGTATTAAGCTTATTTTAATATGAGCACTTTCCTGTCTTATGCATCCATTAATCGGTGATGTAGCTGAAAGGTGCTTAGGGGGAGGCAGCCATCCCCGAAATTTCAGGAAAATTTAAAAATGCTCTCGGTGTTTAGGTAGAATCCAAAAATGTAATCTTGCATTACAAGTTGTAATTATTTGTATGCAATACCTACCTAAAAACGTATGTTAGAAATAGATAAAGGATCCACAGACTTGTTGGACTCTTCATAGATACGAAAATATTTCCAATGAAAAATATTGGAGAAATGTCTGAAATTATAAATTATGTTTCTAATTTGTTGACAACTTTTATTTAAAATGATTAAAATATAAATGAAAGTTTTGAAGTATTTTGCTATTATTTTTTTCATTAAATATAATTTTGCTATTCATTTTTAAATTGAAATAAAATTCAAAAGGGAATCCATAATTTCTCATATTCTTTCTTTTAAAATTAAGGGGATTGATTTTATAATATTTTACTGTATAATTGATGTTATGATACTTATCATTATAACTATATAAGGATACGCATATCCTCTTATATTATATTACATAATAGTTAATGCGCATAGATTATATTATGTACATTCAATATTGCATATTATGCATATTATATGTAGTATATAATATAAATTATACTAGTTCCTAGTTATTATATTGGAAAATCAATTGTAATGGTTACTAATAGCCTATAATTATTGATTTTTTTAAGTTTACAATTACATAAAATAGTAGATAATAACGACAAACGTTAGTAGAAAGTAATAATATTATAATGATTACAATACCCAACGGGCTACGAATAAAAAATTAAAAAATATAACAACAAATACTTGTAGCTATGAATTACTGTGTATGCAATTACAATAGATTTTAAATGAGTTTAAGTTTGGTTAGGTTAGGTTCGATTTTTAATTAATTTATGGTTTTTGTCATTCTATACTCAGGGCAATAGCTGTAGCTGAGGGTACCTATTACTTGCATAGATGCATAATTACACAATTAGTACGTGTAATAAAGTAGGTACGTATAAGTAAAATTATGTACAGAGAGAAAAATTAAAATTTTTCCCATGGCATAAATATATCAAACATATTATGACAACTCTTTTAGTTAAGCCTCCCCTGTAAGCTGTAAATTCAGGTACATCCAATTGTCAGCCCCCCCCCCCCTCTTACCCAAAGAAAAGTCATGACGTGCACTGGCATAAATCATAACTATTAGGTAACCCGAAAAAACTGTAGGTATGTATATATAGAGTGTAGACTATGATTATTTTTACTGACACATGCATTCAACGATAATTTCTACCCTCCGATTTCGGCATTTCGCCAATATTGGATAGTTTCTGCCAAAATAAAAAAAGGTATTGTTTAATTTTGTTTCCACCAAATTTATTTTTTCCAAAATGATTGTTTAAGATTTGATAACCACTAATCATAATTTTGGTTTTGTTTAGTGTAGCTACTATCTAGTCATTGTTTCACGGTATTCTAAAAATTATATTTTTATATATTGTAAATAGCCTGTACTTAACCTAATAATTGTGAATGATTCCATGCACATTTCAACGAACAGTTCTAAAAATCGCATCCTGATATCAATATATTTTTAAAAATATTAATTTAATATATTCAAAACTCCAAACCAACGTACCTGTATCTTATATTTACAACTATACATCAAACTGTTCTACATTTAATAGTCAAAAATTCAAAAACAGTGTAAAAAAACTTTTGGATTAGAAAGTTTTTTTAAAAAAAAAAGTAAGCAGCTGAAATAATAATTTGTAAAAAATAGTTTTAATTATAATTTGAATAAAAATCACATTATTAAGACCGGGCATATAAGATTCATAAGACATATAAGACGTAATTAAATCAATAAATTAAAACAAGTGAAACAATTTTTGAGGATCAGCGAAAACCGCCTCTTCGTGGCAGGCCACTGGGTAATTATAAATATTTTGAAAGTATAATGTTTAGAAATAACTACATTTGGAGGAAACGAAAATTAAACTTTGTTCTTCAGTACTGTAAATAATAACCAACCTATCGACTCCGCCACATACAAATGTTACCTATGGGCTATGGAAGTCCTGGTTGCTCGTTAACTTTGTTAATTAACTAAAAATAAATATATATTTAACAAAATATTTTTTAGATATATTCTGATGGAATTATATAATTGCTGATTTGTGAATACACATTGCAATATTACATGCAACTATTATGATTGAATAATGAATATCACACGACACGAACGCGAAGGTTTAAAGGTTTGTAAATAATTTTCCACGTCAAGGTTCATAAAAAATATACAATATGTATTATAACAATCTAGAAAAAAATAAAACCTACAGTATTGATCACTTATATATTAAAATCAAAATAATATGAAAAATATAAACAATAATACAATGTCATGTATATTTTTTGGAAATGATTTTTCAAAATTTTGAATGATTGTCAGTTGTAATGTTGACTTAACATTAAGAGAAACACAAACAAATAAATTCCTGCATTTCAATCGAATTGTTACCATAATAAGGCGTATAATATATATAATATAGGTATTACCAATAGTGTAGTCCATGTCAAATATTTAAAAACGATTGATGAAATTACGATTCCTGATGTTTGTTCGGGTGTACGTCCACCTAATAATTAAATCGCAGCTAAACTACGGTCTATTTTGTAATAATTACAGACATTTTGATGCAATGACAATTTTATTAGGTATACTGCATATTGCATAATATTTATGATGCGTGCAGAAGATATATACTACAGTTTGTCTGTTTGTGGTGTGGGGTTTGACATACGAACGCAATAATTATTTTTTTTGCATTGTCTTACACAACTTTTTATCCTACTTCGTATGGTTTTTCGTGTATATTGGTAGGTCTAAGAATAGGTCATAGGCTATTTTTTAAGCCCTTAAGTATAAGCTAAGTATATATGTGTAATAATATTTTTTTTCTATTTTAATCCCTATATTTCCCTTGATCGCTGTATCACGCGTATCGTTTAAAACAGATGCATTTATGATATAAACTAGTTAATTTCTCATTTCTTAGTGCAAATTTCACTGTCGATTCAATCAGAAAATTAATGAAAAATTGTACAGTGAGTTTTTTGATCAGTCTTTGTTCATGATAGTTAGTTCAAAGCAATTACGCTTAATATTTTAAGGAGTTTTGGTAAGTTTTGATGGGATATTTTTGTTTTTAAAAATGCCAACAATTAGACGTACAAATAACTTATAAGTTGCAGAACTCGCAATGGTACAAGTCAAAGATATACAAGAGCAAGTCAAACACATAATTAACAAAAAACTGACTTAACTGACAAAAATTTCAGATTGTAAGTAGCTGGAAAATCACGGACAATACACGATATGTGTATAGGTGTACAATTTGCAGGTTTATTTTAATTAAGAGGATGCTACCCACGCTTTCGTTGTCTCCGTCTTACCGACTTACGACACAGCAAATTTTCATCCACTAATTTGAATAGCGCACCGTTAGTTTTGATATTCGAGTGAATTTAAGTAATATCAACTATCAAACTTATAGGTAAGAATATTATCCGTGCTTAAGCGTCGCCGGCTTTTCGATATTTTTATTTTTAAACAAGATACGAGTATGTGATACAACACAAATCAAAAATGCTCAAATCTCGCTTGAAAATTAAAACATCCAAAAATTCGCAGAAGCTTAATCATGGATTCTTACCTAAAACTTTGATAATAGGTCAATTCACTCTTATATCAAAACTAACAGCACACTATATTGAAACTAGAGAACGAAGATGTTCTATGTCATACGTGTGTAAGACGGAGATTACAAATGCACGGGTAGCGTCCTCTTAATAACTAATTTTTCTACCCAACTTTCTTAAGTTTTTTGTAGAAATTAGTATTTAGCTGTTATTTATAGTTGCCAATGTTACAGTAATAATATTGTAATAATATTTTTTAACTCTACACAACTTACGATACATCGGGGCATAATATAGGCTATACAGTATACACACTGAGGATCTCTATTATAGTGATATTGGCATTTGACAGCACCTTTTCTTGATAAGTGTATTATTTACGTATACGTAAGTATATAATATATATTATTTTATAGTTTTATACATCATACAAATTTCAAAATGTATTACAAATCTTACTTTACAGTACAAGATAGTTATAGTTGATATTTTTCGGCAGAAAAAAAAAATTACTAATTTTGTGCAGTAATAATGAAACGTATTAAAGTAGTTTTTTGATTCAGAGAGAAATCAGAAAAATATTTTTAGAAAATCACACAAATGTTTTGTTGATTATTTGTTATGATTGTTAGTTGTTACACCGAGAACACCAAAAAATGATTAGGTGTATGACAAATTGTTGGATTACATTTTAGTACCTATAATATTAATTGTTTGTTCATATATTTTTTTACATTAATGTAATAAAAAAAACAGAGAATTTTAATTTGACCAATCGATTCTACCAGTACAGGTAAATAAATAACAAAATAAAAATATATGAATTGAAAACTAATATTTCGTTTTTATAATTTTTAAGCAGTCGTGTAAGTAGATTTTTGAGTAGAAATTTGATAAAAAAACTCAATTACTTAAATGGTACGCACCTTTATCACAAAACAATAATAGCCATTAATCATTATTTAGCTAAATTATGAGTGAACTATTTGATTTGTACTCTCAATTTCTGTATAATTAACGTGAATTTCCCCATGTTCCTGGGAATCGCGGAATCGCCCATTCCTAATTTTCTTCGATCTTGTTTACTCTCTGATTTTTTAACTGTTTGAGTTTGAATTCAAACCTCAATTTGTCTTAAACTTTTAATCGTTCTAATTTCTTAATGTTCGAGGTTACAAAGAGTTTACAGTCCCATCCCTAATAAAAATATTATTTATGTGTTTTTTTGTATGTATTGTGTATATATTTATTATATAATAATATGTGCATTATATGATTTGTGATTCATAAAATGTGTATTTTAAAACCACTTCATCTATAATTTTAACTGTATATTTGTATAATCAATCAAGAAACATTATTATCACAGAAATAGGACAATTATTTACTGAATAGGTACATTTATAATAAATAATGTGTGTGTGTTTGTGTATATGAGCAGAGTCTAGAGCAGTAAAAAAATAGGAATAGTGTACATAAACAATTCATTTTATGTGACCCGATTATGGTTATTGTGTCTTATTCTGATTATTTTGATCATCATCTTCGTATTCGGCATTTGCACTGTCCATGGCTTCAATTTCTGCTTGTTTTCGAATTATATAATTTTTGGCCATATCTTGAAGCTATATTAATAGTAACACAACAAAATGTAATTATTCAATGACTTTAAATATTTACTTGTAGACAAATATAGGTTCGTAAATTTTAATAAAAAAATGTAAACACTCTTATTATTATACTGTAATATAGCAAATAATTTATTTTATAAAATAATCTAAGAATAATTACCATTTTAGAGTGTTTTAACGAACACTGAAATAAAGGATAACCAGCTGAACAATGCGTGTTCACTCCTAAAACGAGTAAAAAAATATCAAAAAAATTTGTTGACAACTGTAATGAGTATATTACAATTAGTTAGACCTAGTTGGGCAATGATGATAACAAATTTGAAATTATTTCAATGCTTTCATGACCACGGACCACAGCATAATGTTGAGTGGGGTCTTTTGGTGAACAATCACGTAAAAACGAAAAGTATTGAAATAACATACGATTCATACGAACTATCTTGTTATTATAAAACTATTACATTCATATGCTGATAAAAATCGTTATTTCGTAGCCCTTATTTTAGAACAACATTAAGTTAGTTTCAGGTGCTTTTTGCCAATTATAATCACACAAAAATTTAAAATTAAATAATATAGATAAAGGTTTTTTTTGCCCACAAATGTTTAATTATTTCTGACCGACTCAAGTTTGAGAAACAATGTTATTATATAGACACTCTATGTTAATAGAGGTTATTAAGGGGTTACTTCTACAGGACTTAATCAATTTTTATATCCAGAATTGTAGAAATGTACTCATAAGTTAAACATTGTAATTGTAATTTTTTTATGCTATCGTTTAAATACATGGGGCTGACCTCTCCCCCTCTCCCCCCTCCCACAACACACAAACACACATCATGTCTACACCACTCCTCGAGAGCTGTAAATATTTTAACGCTCTGTTGTTTGAAGAGTTAATAGTTATACTCTGTTAGTGATGTAAAGTATTAAAATACAATTATCATTTTATCGGGTTGATTGTCCGATACCAAAATTATTATTGACCTAAATGTAATGCAAGAACATTTATTGAAAATCAGACTTTATATGTACAGTGGCTATCATAGTTTACTTTAATATTTAAGTATCATAAAATGTCTAAAAAAATCAAATGCCATACTGTCTTTGCAATTATTTCCAATTACTTCTGCTTCTTGTTTCCACTCAGGTACTTTGATCAATGCTGTAATTTCCCAATATCGTTTTTCATTCCACTTACCGTCATCGGAGTTCATCTATAGGTATAGGCCACAATGTATGGAAAGACATATTAGTTATAAATCATTACATTTTATATTAACTCGTAAGTCACAACATTAAAATATATGCTCAACAACTGTCTGATAAAAATATAATTATAATTAATAATATACATTAATATTATAGGTATATTCAGGTAACTTACAGTTCCTATTATTTTTGATATGCATGGTAAAAAACACTGAAACAAACATATTATTATGTTTTATTAGTACATAAATCATTATTATCATTAGGTAAGTATGTGCTTATATAAAAATAATAATAACGCATTCAATATTCCAGTGTTATCGACATTCTGCGACATCATTCTAATACATTCTCGTTTACATTTTACGTCGGTACCTACCCGGCTACCCTTAAGCTATAACCTAACCTATGCATTATCTATTATGACTCCACTTATTAAGAAGGTAACTAATTATTATTACTACCTAGGTACCTACTTGACAAAGTTAAGTATTTTATAAAGTAAATCTTGTATACAGAAATTATATTATCATAAGTGGTTCAATATTTAAAAAATGTTTATTTCACATAACTTGAGGTTTTTATAAAATATATATACATATATATACACATTATATTTCTATTTTTTTATCGTTTCCATTTAACTCACTTGTTTAATTGACAAACATATGTGTTTTAGATTCATATATTGAAGTAGAATATTTTTCTGAGAATTTTGATGAATAGGTATATAAGTGTCGAGTATCAAACTATGAGTAGTTCATTACATTATAGTTATAATTTGTAAGTACCTATATTTAAAATTTCGATGATAGGAGATAAGTGGTATTAACTTTCAAATCTCCACTCATTGAAAATGTAAGCACATATGACTTATTACTAATCACTAATCAGCTACACGTTCAAAATTAAGTTAAAGATTTTGAGTGGAGCACTGATAATAGTATTGATTTTTTTCAATAATGAAATTTTATTTTGCGTGTCAGACTTCAGCTGTAGATGCACTATAATAATGCTTTAATCATCAACTTTCAAGTTGGTTTCTGGTGGCGGATTGGATTTAGTAAGGGTTATGACACATGTTCAATGCAAAATAAACAGGAAAAACCAAAAAATAAAAAAGTCAGAGTACTCAGCGTTTTTGCTTTGTAGTAGGCATACTGTTGAGTGTGATTCACACAAATAGTATAATGGGTACATTATTTTACGCTTTTTTCGTATGGTTTTTGGTGATGGCAAAAATATGCTCTATTTAAAAAAATATGTATTTAATTTTTTAGTTATTACAATAAAACTGTCATTATTTTTTTTTAGCCACGATAAAAATAAAAAATATTTATATTTTAGTTCATACAGTTATAAATACTAAGTACTAAGCAGTTGAATACTATACCGATGTTTATTAAAAACATTAGAGTAAAGAAAAATACATAACCTCGAATAAAACTACACCATGAAATATGCAATAACAAGTTATTTTTTATGAAATAATAATATTATTATTAATATATAATAATGGAATATTGCGATTTAATTTTACTTTTTGGTTAAAATATTACTATAGGTAGGTATTATCCTATATTTTTAGGACGTAAGTACTTACTTTACAACTGTCGTATTTGGTATCACTACTATTTGTCTTGGGGTCCAACAAATCAAAGCACGTTTCTATATACACAGTTATCATACTTTATTAGTATACAATTAATTACACATACAAGTAAATAAACATCTAGAATTCTAATGATTGACATTTATAAATCGGACACTTAAATAATTACCCATATTTAGACCTAGTTGAGACGAGCACGCTAAGAAACCGTTAAACGTTTCGTCCATCAACTCCTGGTGATTTGTTATGCGGACTTCTGCATACGTCAATCCCAGCTGTGAACATAGTAATACACTAATGTTTAGGGCTATAATATATAGCTGCACGAGATCTTATAACCATCTTATTATTTTTATTAGGAACTTATTAGTTAACTAATTACTAATACAATACTATAAAATTATTAGAAATGCTAATATACCCTAAAATGCATAATCACCAAGCTATTAGCTATTATTTTCAACACATTTAATATAATAATTATTACCAGCACGCAAATTGGATAGGAACAATAAACAAAAATGAAATAAAAATACGATATTGTAAACTAGCTGTACATATACAACACATTTCAATTATTGTAATATTACCTATGTGCTTATTTAGGAAGTTAAGTCGTGTTTTTACATAATTACATATATTAGTATAGGTATAACTTATATTTTACGACATGAGAATTGAGAAATATAATAATATATGAATACAACAATATTATAAAATCAACAGCATACAATTAAATATATCTAAATGTAAGGTTATTAACTATTTTTTTCATAATTTGAAAAGTTGATTCAATAACATATAGAAAAATGAATTTGAAGCTCAAAGTTTGTTTTATTTTGAGTAATCTATAACTAAGTTAAATAAGTTACATTTTTTTTATTACTTAAAATTCACAATTCATACCAAAGCTCAATCAGAACAATTTATAAAATTATCTATACAAAAATAGAAATACATACACAGTCAAAATAATACATATCTATATATCTATATATAAGAATCTAACTTGATTTTGGAGACGAAGGAAACCGGTTTTGAACCCTCATTATAATAATAATTTACTAATTACCAATTATTTTCATATATTCACCGATAGCGATGTCTGTTTTTTTATTTTATTTTATAATCGTTGTATTATTTGTATAGCCAAAAAATAGTCTTATGTTTTTAAATTAAATTATAAAATAATAATTTCTTCCGGAGGAAGGTCGGGCAGCTAGTTATAAAATATAGATATTAACTCGTATTTAGATTTTACTACTTTAGGTAATTTTTTAAGAGTTCGCATCACCAATGTCTCTTTTATCATTAAATTGGTTTATCTGGTATAATTATTGTTCAGATATTTTAAATTAATGTGTTTGACTGAGATTTCAATTTTTTATAAACAATTATATATACATTTGTATTTGTATTTGTATTTTATAATTTACTTTATTTGTACCCTTGTGTAAACAATATATTATTATATCAAATAGTAAATAATATTTTGATGATTTCTATTTTTATAAAAATAATAAATTAAAAACAAAAATACCTACCTAACTATAGTATTGTACCTCAACTTAAATTTTAAAAATGCTCAGCTTTGCCTAAACGTATAACAAGTATCTACCACGTGATGTAGCTCTGAGACAATAAATATAAACTTATTCCCCTAACTTATATTATCTTCTTGTAAATTCAAAATATAGGTGCACATAATATTGCGGGGCTACTTAAGTTCTGGGGTCTCGAGGATTTGCCTCACTTTGCCCCCTATGATAACTACGCCACTGTACATACCAACAACCAATAATGGCAATAGTCATGGCTAGTATAAATATATATATATATGCATAGGTAGTTTATAGTAATTTGCAATAACGTTAATCCTACACTCATACAGTCATATAGGATATACAAAATAGAGGTACGAAAAAGTATGTATACTTACGGTTAAGACTAAACAAATTCCAAAAGCAAATGACATATTTGACGAGATTTATGTGGACGATACTATATAATATGTTTATTTAAAAGTGAGTTCAGTTAGTAAACTGCTGTATAAAATTATCAAACAAACTGTAAAATGAGAATATATACTTTTTACATATGTTTTGTTAAAATTATCAGGAAGTGAAAGCTGCAATATAAACCTAAGCGGCTAAGCACAATACACATAACATGTACGTATTTTGAATTACAATATCTACCTAATTACCTAATTACCTAAATAATTATTATGATTACAATATAGGTAAATAATCTGATTTTGCGTAATTTAAAACAATTTTAATGATATTATTATGATCTATCTGAATAAATGACAGAGTACCGAGCTAGGACAATAGGGCGAAACGAGATTGTGACTTTTTACCATCATAAAACGTAATACGAATGCGCTCAACAAATATTTTAATACATTTTACATTGTATAGATTTTAAAGGAATTCGCAATTATAGTTCTATACACCTATATGTTATGTCTATAATGGTTTACTCGGGTCGTGGGTACGCTATTTATACTACTTGGTATACAATATATAGGTACATAGGTACATGAATTATACAATATACATATTACATATATTATAACATATAGACATATTTCATACATTTTATTGTAAGTGCATTTGAAGTGTTTATTGAAGAATTACAATGTTTAAACCTAACCTTGCAATTGCAATACGTCGTGTAGCTGTATTAAATTACAGTAGGTATATAAGTTTGTGCTCAAATTTACCTTACCAGGATCTCAAAACTTTGGTTAAATCCTCGTAGGTTAGGTTAAGTTGGTAGTTTAGGTTAACCAGACATGATAATATTAATACGTGATAATATATCAAAATTATTAAATTTGTTAAATGAACATAACGGCATAACACTTTCAACAACATTTTGAGACAATTTTACCGAAAAAATAAAATATTATAAAAAGAAAGTTGTTCAAATTGGCAAAAATACTTGACATATCAATTATTATAAATAAATGTGCACAAAATAGTAGAAACAAGACATGATAATTTTTTCAAAAACAGGTGCACAGTGCGGCAGAAATGCAATAAAGATATAAATATATTATGTACAAAAAAAGACATCGGACAAGACTACGGAGGGAGGTGAGATACAATAATATCGGTGCTGTGGAATCGGCGGTGAGGTTAGGTTAGTTTGTCTGTCCTAAATCAACCCTCAATGCGGACTCTTTCGGTTTTGGACGCCAACATTTTTACACAACCTTCAGTGTAGAACACACATTTATACTCATCCATAGCTATAGTCCTGCGAATATAATATACGCATCTCACGGCGGTGTGTAAGCGAGTGAGTCGGTCCGAATTGGTTGGTCTACACACAAAGGCAAGTATTATATTTCAAAAAAATATAAAATGATACGTGCGTATGACAACGTCCAAGTAATTTTTTTTTCAATTTCGTAACAACATGGAAAACGTTTAATTTTATATTTGTTTTATAATGTTCTATATAATATGTTTACGCTTTAGAAACTTTCAGCTATCGTCAAATCGATCGCATTACATATTTAAACACCGGGAAGATTCTTGTCGGTCTGCATAATAAGCAATCGACGGCTGCAAGGTGACTATTTTGGTGTCCTCCGGTCCTGGAGCCGGTTCGATCGTAAATCGTAATAAATATATAGTGCCGGCCGAGAACTCATTGCTTCCGGAAGTCATATCGCCCTCCGTGGCTCTCCTAGTGCAATTATATCCGTAAATTATGACGTGTCACCTACGAAAGCCTCTGAGGAGTCTTAAACAGTCAGCTCCGGACCGTCTGTGCAGAAGGCGGCCTCTTAACTCTTTGTCTCATAAACGCGAAGTTTTGCATTCCGCCGCCGATTTCCCTGGTCAGTTATTTTGGATTGGCATCGTTTTTGATGTGAAGAGACGCATACAAACCTACACCTAACTTATCCTAACCTTACCTTAGCTCGGCCAACCAGTCATAAGTAAGGTTACCTAGGTAATTATAGTAGCTGTAATTTAGGTAGAACACATTCTTGGAGATTTGTATGTACTGTATTGCTATAATATAGGTCGTATACGTTACGAAGGATAATGTTTTTTTTTAGTAAAATGACTATGTATTATGATAATAATAAATTATAGTGATTTAAATGCCTGAAAATATAGCCAAGATTGTCCATTACTATTATATACAATACAACTATGGCATATACCTGTTTCGGTATTAAACGCTACCAGCCCTACGATAAACCTCGATCCTGTGCATTACGATGTAATCTTTTGCTTCTCTCACTTAATCGTTCTTATGTCCTTATAATAATAGTAGTTAATTATTCTCACTACTTTAACTAAAAGAGATAAGTGATAATGTTGAAGCATGTTACATAATAAATTGTTGTAATTTGAATGTTTGTTATTATATTATAGGTGAAACGTAAAAGAAAATTGATGATTTCCGAAGACGATCTTCTGCTGTTCAAAAAGGATGAACAGATACTGAAAATGTCTTCGGTCTTAATAGTTAATATAACTAACAGTGATAATATTATTGTGTAGGTATACATTTAATTACTGTAATCAAATGTTATTTTATATGTTGAACGGTGATCCTTTACTTCATTTAGATGATGGTAGCTAACAAATTACAACATTTTTATGAAATATAGGTAAATATCAAGTCGACAAAAAAAATTAACTATTTCATCATTCATCATTTAATTTATACATTTGATGAACACATAATTTGGATGTGTAGACATAGCAATGATTAGAAGTCGGATTTTTATGATTTTACATATTTGTTTCTAGTCTATGCAGTTAAACGGGAGTGAGAAATCTTTACGAATCATGAAACACAGAGTGCACATGAAAAAATTTATTTGGCATAAAAAAGCATATTTTAAGGGTTAGAGAATGTTTAACACGTTAGAGAATATTTGAGAATATTTTGGTGATATAAGGCATATAATGAACATATTTCGCGTATATCAGCGCTTTGATAAATACATCGTTCACTAAATGATTTATTATTTTATTTTTGGGTTTTAATAAAAATTAATATTCCTTATCGATTGGCGATTGCGATAGCACATCGGATATTTCGTTAGCTGTCACGACTGCTAAAAGCTAAATGTAAAATTATTAAAATTACTCTCTTATAGTTATGACTAATGACCAAAATAGGAAGAGTAAGAAATCAAAAATATTAATCTTTTTTTCTACAAATAAGGACCACTCTAAAAATTTGGAATTTGGCCACAATATTCACCTTTTTAGAAAAAGGTATATGGTAATCGGGCTACTAAAATTTTACATTTATAATAGGTAGACCCAAAGATTGGGCCACTATTAATTTTTAAATTGTATAGTTATAATTTTTTAATACGTCATAATATTATATAAACTGCTACAATATCTAACACTGCAGTGCACATGCAACTTTTATATCTTATGATAATATAGAATTGTCATCGAATAAAATGGATAAAAAATAGTCAAAAGCTTAGCTTACACAGATAATGAAAGATAATTATATCCAAAAGAAGTAGGTAACTGCTTTGTAATGGATTTTATAAGTGAGATGCTACAAAACATTAAGCTAACATTTTTTGATTTTATTTTTGACACTTAGTGATGATGCTCTTTTCCCTCCGCTTATGTGGGCGTTACGTTCTAAAACTATAACTCGAACTACAAATGCCGTCGAGTCTTTTCATGCACATTTCAAAAATTATTTCTATATGTCACAGCCAAATATACAAAAATTTTTTAACGTTTTACTGCAACTTCAAACAAGAAAACAAACTTTGGTTCGACAACATTTTATTTTTAATGAAATCTAAAAATATGAAAAATTGGAAAAACACAATTTCAATATGTACAATCTATATTATTATGTTATTTAAAAAATAATTATATTTTTATGTATAAGAAAAAATTATTTTGTATTATTTATTATTTGACTAACATTGTTGAACAAGGTTCTGTATTATATTTTTAAGTATAAGAAAACAATTATTTCATACTATTTATTATTTGACTAATTATATGGACCTTATTTTAAATTTGTTGAATATGTATGGAAGTATTTGAAACAAAATATTTATCATTTGACGAATTGTATTGTATATGTTAGACAAAAAATAATAATAAGTTATTAAACGTTACATATTCGTATTACTAGTATATTTGTGTGCTATACTTTTGTGGCCCATTCTCCGGGTAGTTTAATAGCAAACAAATATTTTTTATGAAGCAGGTACCTAGTTAAAATGTGGCTCAATTCCCGGGCGCCCCCCCACTCTAACCTATTGGTTACTTTTAGGAAGCAATACAAATACAAAACATTATATAACTGTGACAGTCCTATGTTAGGTTCAAATAAAGGTGTATCTATCTATACATACAAATGGTATTACCTATTTATATATAAGCAGTTATCTGTCTACTACCTGCCAATATTATATATTAAATTATAGGTAGGTAGGTACCTACCTGCATGCGTTTTGTAATAATTGTCCTGCAACATCATAAATGTCGTTAACAATAATTGCATAGGTACTCGTCATATCACAATGCACTGTTAAAATAATCATATAATTATATGCTGAATAAAAAAATCCCACAACATTATCGCTCACGTTGAAGGTCTTCATTTACTCCAGTCAAAAGTACCTATTTTAGATTGTAGGCATTGATATTTTTTTTTTCTGTAACATAAATCCTTACATTTGGGCAAAAACACAAAAAACTGGAAAACATTTCCAGAGTAGGTATACTTTTTATGGTGTCGGCACCAAGGTGGTCAGGACATTTGAGGTAGGCACCTTTTTCGTGCCATTTGCGGTCAATTTATTTCTATCTACCTGAATATAAGATGTGGGACGTCATGTCAATAGAAATAACTTGACCGCAATTGGCACATAAAAGGTGGCCGCCACAAATGTCCCGGAACCCTTTTTCTACGTCACCTATCAGTACCTATTTAAGCAGAGGGGCCTCATAGGAGGGTTTACAGTTGCCAAGCCTCCCTCTTACCTCGAACAATTTATTCAAGACAAGACCCCAACCAAAAAAAACGTAGCACACTTCTTGGTATTTTTCCTCTGCAAGGAAAATCTGAAAATCATAAATAAGTTTTTGGGCAGAGGGTTATCATGTTAACAATAATAAATATTATAATAAGCTTCAGCAAAAGTGGTTAAAAAAGATTACCTATGTTAAAATAAAATTATAATTACAAATTTACATCAAATTACTAACTCATCATCTATTATTTTCTTAATTTACATTAAATTATTAGTTTGAATCCGAGTGAAGGGATCTATTGAAGTTTTACTAAGTATGCTATTTATTTCTTCTGTGTACACATTATCGGGTAGATACTATATATTATAGGTACTAGTCCAAATAATTCATCTATATACCTACTTCTCTGAAGGTCAAAAATCACCTCAGTTATTGGCACTAAGAGAGGACGTTTTTCGAAATTGTCCTACTTAGTTCCGTAATAGTATATTTATTCTGTATAGTTTCGTTAACACAACAAAAAGTTTTATATAAAAGGTAAAGTATTATTGCAACGGTAAGACAGATAGAGTGGAGGGGTAAGCGCTCCATGGATCTGTTTGGTATCAAATACTCAAGCCCCCCTTCTACCGCTAAAAATAGTTTTCAGGATCTCCGTCTATCAGTGAGGTTGTGTCAGGCAATTTCCTCCCTTCACTTAGCTAGGAGTACGATAGGGGCGTGAACTAAGTGTACTATTTTCCGTCATCAATGCCCCGATATGAAAGAAATTTTCCTCATGTTCATAGATAAACAATCGAGTCGTAACTTACCTCTTCTGCAGGGTGATTGAATTTGAATACCTACCTAGGCGTCCAGCAAATCTAGACTCGATGTTTAATCTTGAAGCGACTGCACAACACGAAACTTAGAGGACCATGAAACAAAAAAAATCATTTTTTTTATACCTTAGTGTAATATAAGAAATGAAAACTAAATTGTTCGTCTTTTCAAAAAAATTATCCGATCACTCCTGTCAATTAGCGATCGTACGTATACGCGTGACGTCACTGGTGCGCACGGATTTGTGCCACCGTATTATTTTAGGCGATAGATATTTACATGGCGTTTTATAAACACGTAATTTCTAATTTATACATACGACTATACTTATTATTAATTATTAATTGTATCGTTAATACTTAATTTCATAGGAAATCGTGTATGTATTCCAGTATATGTGTTGTACAAGATATTCGAAATAAGTACCCCGAAAATAATGGAATATACGTAGGTTTTAAAGAAAACACAGCAAATAAAAAATTTGAATACATTTGAACACCAAATTAATTGTAATAAATAAGTTTTAATGAGATTAGTGTAACTCAGTATTCATTTTATATTTTAGTATTTTTTTCGGCTGAAGAATGACAAATATGACAGTTGATAATATCCTATAGATCCTAGTTTGTTATTCGTGTTATTCAAATGGAATTATCTAATAAGATATAAATAACTTTTAATGTCAATAATAGTAAATGATAATGACATTATAATATCGTCACACAAATGAATTCAGTCTTATATTGTGTATGTTTTAATGTACCATATATAAACATATTGTACCGCGTAAAATATTACGGAGGCACAAATTCGTCCGCACCAGTGACGTCACGCGTATACATACGACCGCTATTTGACACAATATGAGTGATCGGATAATTTGTTTTGAAAAGACGAACAATTTAGTTTTCATTTCTAATATTAAACTAAGGTATAAAAAAAAATTGATTTTTTTTGTTCCATGATCCTTTAAGAAGTACATTTTTCTGCCCGAAAAAATTATTTTTAAAATAATTCTCTGTACGACAACCAAACGCCGGATTGTTTCGAAAAACAAACGACACATCCATTATGAGTTATAAACTTGACGTCCACACCGAGAACTGGTTAAGTTTTCAACCTACAGTCCATCAGAAATTGAAATCAGTGATCATTTGGGAGGTACAATCCAATTGGTCACACACTACAGCCTACAGGCATATTGTTATACGCCAGCCAATCCTGTAGGCAGAAATTTTTTGACACTGAAATGAAAAATGAACATACTATTGAAACAAAACCTTTGGTTTAATTCATGAGAAGATTACAACATCGATTACAATCTTAATTACACAACAATAATTTATTAACATTTAGAACGATTATTTACAACTGATTGTAAAATATAATATTATTTATAATAATTGTTATACACGGATATTGACTTTTTTTGTTTTTTTTTGTTTCATAAACTATTTATAAGGACATTTAATTACTTCTAATTTAACACAATACAATGTATTCAGTATTGTTATGGTTTAATAGCATATACATTATATAATATGTAATATGTATTAAGTATGTTGAAAATAAAATAAGAAGAATCAGCCGAAGATAAATAGTTGATACACCACAATATTAAATATGAAAATACAGATTTCCTTTCAATCGGATAGTTAGCTTCTACCATAGTGAAGACAGCGATGAATCTTAAACTTTACTCAGGGTTTCTTTTTTTTAATTGTACCACAAATTAAAATAATGATATTGATATAGAACATAAGCATATAAATTGAAAAAAAACATACAAACAATAACATCAATTTAGTAATTATATACACATAGTATCGTATATTTATTTAAACATTCATATTTTAATTGTATTATATTTTAATAATAATAATAATAATAATAATAATGATATATAATATAAAACCATAAACAAGCAATATTAACGTCGAGTAAATAACATTCTTAATATTACATATAATATTAAAGATATAATGTTTATAATATATTATAATATTATATTATGGTTTAGGTGAGAAAACATACAATTGACATGCTACGACGTTAAGGAATATAATAATTATAATAATATGTTAGAAGCAGAGGTCGAGAACAAAACCCTACTACATAGTTATTAATCTATAATAATTGTAAGTAAAAAAAAGAAATAATAATAATAATTACAATCAATATAATATTATAATGTATAGTGATTATGTACAATGTTATAAAAATAATAATAATAATAATAAAAATAAAAATAATGACGATGATGAAAATAATATGTTATATATTTAAAAATTTGTTTAAATTACATTGTTGGTGCTGAAACAATAGTCGATTGAATGATTCTGAAAACAGGGTTTTGATCAAAGACGATCTTAAGTCACGGCTCATTTGCAACCGCCTTTTGTTTCAGCACGAACAAATATGGTGGTGACATTTGTCCATATACATGTCACCTTTTTTTTTAAAACCATAAAACTTAAATTTTTATTTGCAGTAATTAAACACATACTTAAATTTATACGTAATAATAAAAAGTGAAATCTGTTACACGACAGCTATTTATGACTTTATAATATATTCTAATAATAATGAAGTCTCAGCAAGACCAATATGTACAATACACACTAAAACACACAACATTAATTATTTAAAATATAATTACAATAAATGAGCTCATTCTTTTTTTTCACTTTTTAAAATAAGAAATAATTGAATGTATTTTTATTCTAATAGCATACGTTATATTATAATTCCCCTGTACAAAAATGTATCATTTGGATTATCAATAATATCAATAACAAATGAAAGCTATAACAAAAAAAAAAAAAATAATAATAATAATAATAATAATGAAAATAATAGTAGTATAAATAAAATCTTAAAATTAATATTGTATTATTTACATTAATCCTCAAAGGGGCAGCGCAAAAAATTATAAATTATAATATTGAGATCAATTACGACCATAATAAATTAGGAAACATTACCACTAACACATACATTTAAAAAAGATATCATACAAATCTATTTTTAAAACGGAAAGAAAACATTAAAAAGAGTTATCTATAGGTCCATTGAGTACAATTTTTTTTTTTTTATTATTTATTAAATCTAAAACATTATTCGAGTAATTGATTATTTGACCATGAGTTTGACATGATTGCATCATTAAATATAATTTTTGTGACCCAGTTATGGTCAAATGAAATGTTTCATCGACTGATTGTTATAAGCATAATGTGTTCTAGTTAGGTAAGAAAATTATAACCTAGACACCTTTTCTTCTGGTTGTTTGACAGAGTCAATAACTGAGTTTAGTTGAGATTTTGATAAGTCTTGATAAGCGGTTTCTTCATAATATGTAAATAATTCTAAGTTGCAACAGCGTAAGTCTTTATGTAATAATCTTTCCAATATTTATTTTCCAATCTGAAAAAATAAAATTAATAATATTATTAAACATAAAATTTGATAATTTCTATATAATTGTTGTAGCTTTAATTAATTAGTCATTAAATAGTAAAAAGTTAAATTGTTCTAACATTTAGATACAATAATCTAAATTCTATTCACAGTACACTCTTAATTTGAATTTGGTTACTTCAATGTTTAATCTCATGTTTATTCATAATATTTAATTAAATTCAATATAAAGATATTGTTATAATTATAATTTAATTTGTTTATTTTAAATTAAAACTGAATTGATTTATTTACATAGTTGATTCTAAATAAAATGTTATTAACATAAATATAAAAGACCTTAGGCTGGTTCTCACCATCTCGGGTTAAGGTTAACAGACACTTAACCTAACCAATGGAATTTTGCAAGTAATAAAATCTGTTATCAGTCAGTTAGTGTTAACCGACACTTAACTGGACATTGTGTTTGGAACAGGAAATTAATTTTGAAATAGATTATATTAGTCAATCAATTAATCAACTTGATTATTTTATCATTTATCAAAAAAATATTGATTTTCAACTAGAAACATTTTAATTTGAAACACTTTTATAGGGTTAATGGGATGCTATATTCAAAACCAGTACAGTTCTAGTTATATTCTAAATTAGTACAGTTATGGTCAAACCAAGACGTATAAAAACTCTATCTATAAATGGTATTTTGGAAACGTCAATTTTATAAATTCACAAGTAGTTTTTAAGATTAATGTAAATAATCTGAAATTAAATTTATGTTTGAAACATATTTTTAAAGTGTTCTAAATTATTTTATTAGTATTAATTTTCAGACAGATATAATTTAGCTGATAAAATACAAAAAAAATAATTGAAACACAATTATTTTTCAATGTAAAATTTCACCTAATATAGAATTAGATTTAATTAAAAATTATTGTTTAAGTACTCACTAAAAAAATTGTAATAAAAAAGTTTAACGGTTATAAAATGAGTTTTTATTTTAAGACTTTAAAGTAGGTATTATTATTTTTATTTTTTACTTACACAACATGATTTCAACCGTTTTTAATCTTGTTGACAATTTTTACTAATTATTATTTTTTAATAATAATAATCAAGTTTTGAAATTTCAACATAATAAAGTATTTATATTTCTTCCAGTTGAATAGATTTATTTTACCTTGAATATCTTCCTCCTGAAAATAAGTCATAAACATATGATTATATTTTATTCTTATGATAATATGGTACTAGATATAACTGATATTAAGTTTATTAAATTATAAAATAAAATAAGTTCACAAAAACTGTTTTAACTACCAACGATTTTAACACAAGAATTTGAGGAACTTGTTTGTGCTGTAAAGTTGGTTTGAATAGTCACAATATTGGATGTGTTAAATTTGTTTACTAAAAAATATTTATACAATTAGAAGTATGTATTTTCTTAATGTTGTAGGTCTAAGGTTAACTAATTTTTAATAAAAATATTTAAATAACACATCTATGCAATAAACAATATAAGAAAGTTCAAGTACAAATAACTTGAGAAGTCTTAAAAAATTTCCAACATTTAATTGTGACAGAAAGTAAGAGGGATGATGGTATTGAAATTGTATACCATTATTGTATTACCTATACCGTTTTACTGGTACTTACCAGGATACAGTAAGACCAAAACATACCAATATACCGTGCTATTAATATTATACAGGGTATAACAGGAAGACCAGAGAAATAAAATAACTTTGTTCAGATTGATAATTTTTAAAACTGAAAAAATAAAATTTTAAATTTGATGCTAATGTAACAAATAGGGAAAACGACCTAACGATCGTGTTTAACTATTTGGCCGTCCCTTCTACAAAGTATAGAATAAAAAATCTAACTGAATTTTATAATTAAAATAAAGCCATAAAGGTATACAGTATTCCACATTAGGCTTACAAATTAAATAACTCAAATATATCAGTTAAAAAAGAAACTACACAAAAAATACTTGAAAGATATCCTTGATATGTACCGAAATAATAATATGTTCTACACTAATGGTTAGAAAACCAAAAATAGGGTTAGTATTGCAAGAATACACTCAAAATATATTAAAAATAAATATAGATTGCTAAAATAATACTACATATACACAGCCGAGGAAATTCCTAAAAAAGGAGGGTCACTGGCCGTCCATACCTAACAAATAAATTAATGATGAACAATATTTTAAATTGGGGTTAAACTTTAAAAATACACAAAGTTGCCCCCCTCCTACCTATATTAATATTGAAATTTTTAAGATATTTTAAAATGTGGGTATGTGAAAAATAATAAATTAAAAATGATCATATCTAGCTTGAAAATTAATATATCCAAAAAATCACTTAAACTTATAATGTTCTTATCTAAAAGTTTAAGCATAGGTTAATTCACTCTAATATTAAAACTAACAGCACATTATTGAAACTAGTAGAGAAAAAATGTTTTCTATGTTGTAAGTATAACAACAGATGCATGAGTAGCGTCCTCTTAAACATTTTTTATTTATTTATCTATTGGCAAATTAAAGCGCCTCAAAGTTACATCTTTTTTTATGGTGATGTAAGAGAATTGATAAAAAAAACACTAGTAGTTTAAAGCAGCGGTTCCCAAACTTTTACGACCACGGCACCCTTAAAAAATTGTTTGTGTTTCAAGGAACCCTAATGTCTAATCCAACTCAACTACAATTTTTGTGAATGAAAAAAGGAAAATCAATTCCTTAAACTCTCAAGTCTAAATAATATTTTAATGATACTGTTAATGACTTTTCATTATTAAACTTAGTTTCAAAAAAAATTTTCAATCAAAAATTTTTTAAACAACAAACATTAAATAAACATAATTTTCTCAATAATCTCATACATCTAACGGAACCCTTGACATTGTCCCACGGAACCTTAAGGTTCTGCGGAACACACTTTGGGAAACGCTGGTTTAAAGCTTTCTTTTTTGATTGAATTTTGAAATTCTGTATTTTACAAACAGATTATTTAAAATGATAAGTATAAATGTTAAATTAATTAGGTATAAAAATGGTTTTACAACTAATTATGAAAAAGTAACCTGTGAGGTATGTTTTTCTAATTTTGAATATAAACAATGAAAACCCCTTATTTTGTTACAAGAACTACAATTTTATGTACCATAATACAATATTAATATTAATTATATTAAATTGTACCTGGAAATCTTGAACTTTAGTCTAATTAGTAATAAATTATACTGCTGAAACTCTCATCATGAAAAAATATTTTATAATTTTCAGTGCGTTAGGTTGCCTTATTTTTCTATGAAATTTATCGATTTGAAGAAATTGTTATTCAGCTGTAAAAACCACATTAGAAAAATATTAATAATATTCTTGCAATTGAGAGGAGAACAACCATTATTAAAGCGGACTGACGGACAATCAGGTTGCCTAAATGACACGGTGTCATAGGCACTGACATAATTGTTACAAAATTCAAAAAATAGTCAACATATACAATATAAAGCATAATATAAAATATGAAGCAATCTTACAATAAAATTATTTAATACTATTTTTTTAATATAACTGTCTAATTGAATAATAAAAGAAAAGAAATATGATAATTTGTATACTTTGATGAAATACTAGGAATATAAAAAGCATTTTTTTTTTTATTGGTCTTAAGCATCAGCAACTATGGCCTTTTGTAATATTCAGGAGAGTTAGGTTTGGTTGAGAAACACTATGAGTATATGAGGCAAGGATTCACCGCTAAAAATCCGGGGGTCACCCATCTGGAAGCTAGCAATGCTGGACAATGCTTGACCAGAAAAATAGCATTTATTATTTGATTTGTTCATATTTTTATATCCTGAATTTGTAAAAGAAAAAGGCATTGGTAAAGTCTGTGTTCATTTAAATCCTTACTTTTTTTTTTAAACATTTATTTTACATTATTTAAAAAAAATATTTCTAGTTAAAAATCTACTGGGCTGTTAGATTTCACTGCACCTATCTGATAGACAAAATATTACATATTAAAGAATATAAGGTACTTTGTTACTATATGAAACTACGGATATTTACGCGACTATCATTCAAGACTTCCGTCGTCGCGACTATCACTATATCTTAGCGATAACTGGAAATAAAACCTTAACAATTATTCCTGGTACCCATTTTTATAATTTTACATAATTCCCACACATAACTTTATTATTCATAAACTTACTTGCCTCGGTAATTTATTTTTTGTATTTTCTAAATTTGTATCATATTTGTTCATGGCAAAAGTATGTAACCTACCAATGTAGTAAATAGTCATCTACCTAAATGTAGTTCTCCTAGATTTACTCCTTTTGCCCAATGTTTAGAACTATTATAAGATAGATTTAACTTAAAAATACTTGTTTAGAAATCTAAATTTCAAGAACATGTCTTTAAATAATTTTTAATTGCATGAACTGCAAGTTTTTAGCGGCACCATTAAATATTAGAAGAAAGGCTGTTAGGTGTAATCTAATATGAAACACTCCATTGTTTTATAAAAAAAATTCAAAATCTACAATAAATAATGATTGACAATTGTCAGTAACTAGTAATACATAATAAAAAAATTCAAGAAGCACTAAATATGATTTGTAAATATAAAATATAAAAATTAGGTAGTCTGTGATAAATAGGAGAGTGTGCAAATTTCGGTAGCCTTAGATAACAGGATTGTGATGTTAACCAAACTGGGTAGTCTTGTGTAACAGGCATGTACACAAATACATTCAATAATACATTCTTCTAATACAAATACAATTGAATTTGGATAGAACTTAAGTTTCATAACTCTTACTTAAGTTGAAATGTAAACTAGTCTGTTATTTTGTTGAACTTGAGATTTGACTCTTTCAGTCTCTAAGATTTTAATTACAAAAAAAAGTAGGATGGTCAGTAATATAATAAAGGTGGCCCCGCTATATCTTAGCTACGTATTTGCACAAAAATGTAGGTATGTATATACATTTGTGTTGAAAAATGATTATTATTTTTCATAGTTGATATCATAGTTCCTGTTCCTGCAGTCATTAGCTTAAACCTGGTGTTGGTGTCTTCCTAGGTTGAGTATTCACCAAAAATGAAAATCTATTACTACCATTAACACAATTTTTTTGTGAAATAAAAAAATTCCAGAGTATTTCAGTGTATTGCATACCTATTGCCTTATCAAAAAATATATCAGAATGGCCTCAATAAGAATAGCATATTATTTGTGCTATAATGCTGTTGTAAAAATCCGATATAAGTTTGCCATTTATTAAAAAAAAATGTTAACTTCGGAGTAGAGTAGAATTGAAAAAAATGAAAGACACAACAAGTCAATACTGAAGTACATTGCCTGGATATACTAATACTAGGTTGATAGTAGGGAATTAGAGATATCTACTGCTAGTTATACATTAAGCATCAAATTACATTAATAGATCATATATTACCTTTGAATGTTTTGTTCCTTGAATCTGTGAATTTTATCGCCAACTTTGTTTGTTTATTCAAATAAGTCACGTATCTCGATGAAACAAAATAATTCTAAATTGACCCATTATAGTATACTGACATATTGTGAAAATTGATCAAAGACTGATCTTGTAATAGTCATAAATCATAATACACAAATCAGCAGTTTAGGTTTTTCTGTAAAAAAAAAATGATAGAGCAAAACATCAGTAAATTAAATTTAAAAAAGCATAAAAAAATAAACGTTTAGGAACATAAGCAATAATAATTATTATAGGTACAGTGTAAAAAATTTAGTGGTGTGCTAAAAAAATCGATTTTTTAAACAATTTTACTTTTAATCGATCTTAGATAGACTGATCTTTTCGCAATATCGATTCTATTTTGGTTATAATCAATGACTTTTTCCTGAGCAATAGAGCACAGAAAAACAACACCTTCTCTTAATTAAAAAAAAACTATACACCTCATTTTTGGGTTTTTTTGTTGGACTCCAAACCACATATTATTGGGTATATCGTGAATTAGTTTTTTGGTAACCAATCTACTTGATTTTTTTCATTTCGATTTAAATTGATTCGCATTTAAGAATTGCCCTTCATTATGTAAAACTAAATTAATTCGATAAATCCGAGTCTACAATATCTGGCCCATGATGCTTTTTCTTTAATGTTCGTGCTCTGGACAATGAGATTCAGCATTCATTTACTGTGAGGAGGGGGTATAAATCTCGAATTAAGATAATAATTGTACTGGATACAAGTGAGGCACGTTATCAGGTAAAAAATGTAACTGAAAAGTGTTAAGACGATCAGCTATCACTTAGATAATACAAACTGGATAGAACAATTATAGCTTTAGCGTATATCACGCGTAGCAGACCGGTTCGGCCCCAGTGTATTTATTACGCATGCGCCAAAAATGAAATGGGTAGAGTAGAACGGGATGTGCATTATTTAAAACTACAAAGGTAGCGGTAATGGAATTGTGTATATATTTTGCGCATGCGCAGAGGCGACGTCGGGGCTCAGTTCCCATTCTTCAAGATTTTAAATAATAGCTCTATCCAGTGTGTATAAGCCACATTTGAAGATATACAGGTTGTAAATATCGTCCTATAATAAACAGCTTTCCAATTGTCTTACAAAGTAACTATTTAAAAGAGGTGGAAAAAAACCACTAGCGCTTTTGGTCGACACAACGATATGCGTCAACATTTAGAACTAATTTTATACCTATAAATCTATTAGCAGTTCATTGTGATACTGCCGCTCGGAGCGCTACCGGTTATTTTTTCATTAGTCAGTTCATAGCCGCCTTATCAGCTGATGCCGACGGACAAAGAGTACATTATCTTTAATCGTGGGCAGAATCGAGGAGCCCGCTAACATAAACATAGACAAGAGCCCACAGGAAGACGTATAATTTTATATTAGAAAGTATAATATAGGTAAGCACATCATCTTGTATAATATTATAATATAAGAATAAATAGCGGCGTATTTGAGGGACCTTGGTTTGATATTTATGTACATACCTATCCATGATAAATGGTGCTTATCTATAACAATAAAATTGATAAATCAGCATCAAATAAAGTAAAAACTACTGTTAAAAAAAATCAAGAAGCTGTGGTATCTTTCTGTTTTAAGAGTTGAATTTATAAAAAAATAACCGTCCCTTAGCCGAACTTCAGATACGCAACTGAGCAACAAATCGAATTTCAAACGATACCACTCATCGTATTACCACACAAATCATATTTTTCAAGATGCATAGTATAAATTACATACAGACGAGTAGAAAAAGTAGTGTACCTACAACAGTGAATTTAAGAAGCAAGCGTTTCGAAAAGTTCCTCCAGCCTTCCACAGTTAAAATTTGTTTTTAAATGCAAAACGATTTACTATTTATTATGTGTACATATCCAATGCATAACCAAAATTTTATTTTCACTTAACGTAGTCGAGTTTTATCATCGAACAAACAACACGTACGTTCCCCTGTGTGTGTCAAATTTTGCGCAGTGATTATTAAATATCTCAAACAAAAAAAAATGTTTTTGCTTACAGCACAAGATTGTCGTGTGTTATTTAAGTCATAGTGAATGGCGGCTAAAATTGTCATACAGCAATGGATTCGTCGGCAATGCTAAGACAGCGTCAACACAAATTGTAGTTGATCAAGAAATTATTCTGGTACGCATACAAAATGATAACGAATCATTATACAGACTTGTGACCGAAATACAAGCGGGTAATGCATAACTACACAGACAATTATACTGGAATTCAAGTGAGTAATATTAATAATACTATTTTAAATGAAAATGTATAAAATACAGATGTCCATGAATAAAAGCGGACCATACCTCAGAAGTTGGTAATTTGGTATCAAAGAAGTAGATAATAATATCACCACACTTCCTTAAATATATAAGCCACCACCAATTACAGCATGTAATGTTAACGATGTACACAACTTTGTTATTAATTTAACTCGAGAAGAAGCCTTCGATTATGAACAGTAACTCAAAATGTTCGCTGACGACGTATAAATCTTGATAGAGGAAGAACATCAGTTAAGACAGAAATTAAAAGTTCTTGAAAATAACAAAATTGAGTTTTATAAATATCAGTTAAAAGTCGTACGTGGATCGCACCCAGGTACTGAAAACATTGTTGGTAACATTATTTCAGTCGAAAATATTTCATCCCACAGTATTTGAGCCGAAAAAAATTTTATCAGAACCATATTAATCCGAACCGTATTTCAACCGACAAATATTTTGACAGACCGTATTTTAACCAACTTGAGGTTTTGTTGTATAGCAAGTCAAGGGATATCTTCGTTTTTTTTTTTGTCCGAACGCAGCGCAGCGAGCGAGTGGCCACCATAGACAATAGAAGAACGGGTAGGCCGAGTGATAAGCACTTGCCCGAATGATAAGTGGTTATACGGTGGTAACCCTGTGACCAACTTCAGGTGGTGTTACGTAGCAAGTCGAGGGATATTTTCGTTTTTTTTTGTCCGAGCGCAGAGCAGCGAGCAAGTGGCCATGTGGGCATCACCGTAAGTAATTTCAAGTTTAGAGTCACGGATGGCTCGTTGGTATAGGATGGTGTAAGTCATAATATAAACTTCCTTATCATTTTTCGGACAACTGCACCTCCCTACTCGGATAAGCCATACAACCTAACCGGGCGAGAAATAATTGAAAAATTATTTAAGGTTATATGGTGCTTAACCATAGATAATAAATATTGATAATTTTTTTGATAGTAACTAAAACGGTTTATTATGTTGTGGTGAGTGTGTACAGTCTTTCATGCTCAACATTAGTACATTAATTTTACATTATAAATATGAAATAACTCATTTGAAAAAATTGAATTTACTACGATTTCAAACATTTTTGTGACATAACCTTAAAAAGGCACATTATTATCCGTGTCTCTTATCGCTCTCCTCCCCAAAGAAGACAGCGGCACGTTGTGGAGTATATGTCCTAGCCATTTTTGTTCTATCTATGGTAATCATTCGGCCATCACTGTAAATAATTTACGATGTTTTTACACGTTGGCGACACTGCTGGACCACTGATAATATCTATAACCGTGGTTACCACAGTAATATTACCATGCGCATTAACCGTTCGGCTGAACTACGGATTGGATTAAATATTTTTCGGCTAAAATACGGTTCCGATCAAATATTTATTGGCTTAAATACTGTCGGATGAAATATTTTTGACTGAAATAATGTCGGCGCCAATATTTTCGGATTTTTTATAGCCCCCTCTTTTTATCATTTTTGTTCTGTTTTTTTAATTTGAATGTTTGAGATATCATATGTAGAAAACCCTTTGTCAGCTAGGTCTCTTTTAATTTCGTCTATTTCAGTTTCTGAGTGCGATTCACGTACGGCTTTCAACTGATATCAATAAAACTCAATTTTGTTATTTTCAAGAACTTTTAATTTCCGTCTAAACTGATGTTCTTCCTCTGTCAAGATTTATGTCGTTAGCGAACGTTTTGAGTTACTGTTTGTAATCGACGGCTTCTTTTCAAGTTAAATTAATAACAAAGTTTTGTACAGCGTCAACACCACATGCTGTAATTGGTGATGGCATATCTATTTGAGGAAGTGTGTATTATCTATTTCTTTGATACGTTTTTTCGGTGGGCTTGAACTAACTTCTGAGGTATGGTCCGTTTTTATTTATGTACATTTGTGTTTTATACATTTTCATTTAAAATAGTATTACTAATATTACTCGCTTGAATGTCTAGTATAATTGTCTGTGTAGTTGTGCATTACCCGCTTTTAATTCTATCACAAGTTTGTGTAATGTTTCATTTACCATTTACGTTTTAAGCGCTCCCGAAAAAAATAGCAAAAAGGAGTGTATAAAATTACCTTTATTTTTCGTGGACTCCGCGATCCACAAGGTAATCAGAAAGTTATTTACAACTTAAATACTCCATGTCAGAGGTTCCCAAACTGTGGGTCGGGTTATATTGTTAAATAATATATTTTTTAGACATGTGTTTTTGTTGATGTTTAAATTTAGTTTTATCATAAATCGTTATATGCGTTTGTGAAAATTACGAATTTACTGCTACCATGCCAAAACAACGTAATTACTAATTATTGAAAAGATAGCAATTTATTGCTATAATACATTCTTTGATAAAAAAATAAAATCTTTTTCAATTTATAAAATGATTTCTTTTTGTTTAAAAAAAAAGGTCATTGATATTAAATGTGGGCCTTCAAAATTTAGATAATTTCCAAAATGAGTCACATCATAAAAATCTTAGGATCTCTGGTCTATGTTATCATAAAATTAAAATAGAACCTCCAATAAAGAAAAAAATATGTCACAGTCTAAAAACTGTCAGTATTTTTACTCAAAATTACTGCTACAAAAATCCGTGCGTAAGGTAAATGCGAAAAGCATAAAACAGAAGACGGGAACTCTAACTGCCACAAGCTGAAAAAATTAAAATCTAAATGTGAGATTTGTGTTTAAGGGTAGCTGAGGGTTGCTCTGCTTACAAAAAAGAAAAGAAAGAGCACATTCGCCACACCCAAGAAATATTTCTGCAGTTTACGCTTTTAACAAAAACCGGCGACACTGTCACAGTAATTATATCTTATAGCCTCCCAACATTAACACAATTCCCCAAACGTCCAAACAGCAACAACAGTCTAATAAAATCGACTTCATATTAATAGATATCTTATCTGCTGTAACTTACATAACAATATCGCTAGAAAGTGTCACATCTAGACAGTAGACTGCATAGGTTAGATGTTAATCAATCTAAGTCTAACTACAAAAACCAAAAGAAAAAGTTATGAATGGCACACCTTCGATCGTACTATAGAATTCTAAGAGCCTAGTACCTACAGCGTAAACCAAGGCTCGTTGACTTCTTGCACAAAGAAAGAATTGATGTTGCTCTTGTATCAGAAGTACATTTTACACCCAAGATTGTCCAAAAAATTAAAGTATCCATACCACTGTCCATCCTAGCGGTAAAGCTCTAGGAGATACTGCGGTCATCATAAAAGGGTCTAATAAAAATTTCGAGTTTGACAAACACTCTTATTATGATCAGTTCGCGGTGGCTCACTGTTAAATGTCCTGAGTCCGGTGCGTGAGTCACGGGTTCAAATCCCGTACCGTAAGTATTTCTTTCATTTAATTCTCGATATCTCTCTTAAGACCGGCCACAACACATATGGCCACGTCAACACTTGGGCACGCAACGAGCAAAATAAAACCGAAGTATGCGTCCGACACCTTGCGAGTATATTTAAACAATGATATGATGCAATGTCAAGCACTAGACGGAACAAGAACAAAATTCGGCAATTCATACCTCTAGAAGTCAACAATGAAATTTCAAACATCAACCCAAACAAGGCACTGGGTTTCAACAGCACCTGTATACTTAATAAGTTACCAAAGAAAACGGTAGAATCCATACTTACTAGGTCGGCACTATTTTGATATTAGTTTCGTTAACATACACACGCGCCATTAAAAGAGGAACAAAAGAAAGATTTATCTATGAAATAGTAGAGACCACGCCAAACAAAATTCCAACGATACAATATACATCATATTAGATAACCTAAATGCAAAATTGGTAAAGAAACCACCTTTAAACCAGCAAAATGAAGTCATAGCCAAGTAATGACAATGAATTAAGACTAATCGATCAATACAAAAAAACAAAAAAATCACTGAATCAGAGGCTACTCCGAGTTGAAAAATAAAGAATAGAATCGAGTCGAGAAATATAAACAATAAAGTACTGTATAAAAGGTGTCAGAAAGAAACAGATAATAATAATATTCTGACGAACAAAAAATGAAAATTTGCACAAAACTTTTGGAAGAAGCAGAACTAGATTACAGATACACGACAATTGTACCAAACGATAAATACATAAATACAACAAGGATAGGGTGTAAAAGACGAGAGAAATTTTTAAGAAAACACTAATAATCGAATACGAAAGATCATGAAGATATGAACAGGATATCACTGCTTGATAAACTTCTCAATTGGGAAAATTTAGTTAAATTTACCAAGGACTGAGACAACAAATGAAAACGTTTGTCTTACACTATCTAAACAAGAAATACAAATACAAATAAAGATTCAAAAATCAAAAATCCTCCAGGCAATGATGGGATTCAGACTGAAATTTTGAAGAAGATAGATAAAAAACAATTTCAAAAATCCATGAGTTCATAGAAATGGTCTGGAAAGAAGAGAAATTTCCAAAAAACTGGAATGTCTAATTAATATGTCGTATGTAAAAAAAATAATTTTCAATGCTGTAAGAAGTAAAGAGGTATTGCTCTAAAAACAGGCACATACTTAAAGTTAGCGAATTGCATACTCGACGCAACAAAATCCCAATATCAGAGGATCCGACTGATCAAATTTTCTGCACTCGCCAATTTGCGGAATTCGATGAAGAACTATATATTCTATTTATTGATTTTGAAAAAAGCTTATGACTCCATACACAGAAAAAGCCCTATCAGTATTTTAATTTCCCAAAACACTGGTGATTTTTATTGAAGCTACACTCATTTATCAAAATCAAAACACCACATAGTCTCAGAAACAGTAAAAATATCTATTGGTCTAAAACAATTCTTTATCATCCTTTCTAATTTAGTTTTAGAGAAAATAATAAGAACTATAAGTGGTCGAAAGAGCTACACTTTAGTACGGCCGGCGAAAAGTGAGCTGCGAGCGTTACGTTCCTAGTGGTGTATTTAATAAGCGTAATCGGCGATTAGTAATTGCAAACAATATTGTTGAAGACCTGATGAATTTGGCCACCCGGAGCATTGGTATCGCGGCCCACTTTTCGCTGGCCGTACTATTGGTCATTTCTCAATACAACAATGATATAATATTACTGGGTAATAATGTAGTAACTGTGAAACAACACTGTAAACGTCTAATAAATATGGCAAATAAAGTTGGTTTAAAGATCAATGATAGCCAAAAATAGTACATGTGGATGAAGAGGGTAAAGAATACCAACAAGGAGAATTTATGGAGGTAGAGGATCATAAGTATGAAAGTGCCACACTTCCAATACCTATGATCGATAGAAGTACCTTTACACCAGAATGTAGGGGGGATGTTTGTCAATGGATTTTATAAAATATTCGCATTTTAAATTAGTGTTCATACAAGGATTTTGAGAATTACGGTAGAAATAAGTATTTTAGTTTGTAAATTGTTGGGTTGCAATTGATTCCACGGGTAGAAGAGGTGCATCAAATAAATATGAGAGTTGAATGTTTGTTTACTTAAATAAGTACTCAAAAACTACTTGACCGATTTTGTGAACATTTCAATTTGTTCTCAGAGATATTTGGAAAGTTTAGAATAGTTTGAACCACGTTTGTTATATACCAAGTATTCCGCCACTGGTTAATTTTCTGGGTCGAATTAAGTCACAAAACAAAGATACACTGACATCGATTAGCCTGTCAACTGAGGTATAGTAAAACCAAGATATACCCAGATAGTGCTATATTTTATATTATTAATTTTTTCAAGGGCTAAGTTGTATTAAACAGCATAAAATGTGAGTTGATTTATCGGAAATTAATAGACAAAAAAACTACTGAACCATTATAGATGAAAATGATGTAGTTATGCAAACGAATACATTTGTAAAAAAAAAAACAAATCTTTGGAGGAATAGCTAGTATATACATTATATATACACATTTAATAAACTTTGTATGTAATGATTTTAACTAAAATGGAAATATGTAGTAAAATGAAATAATCTAGTATACAATTTAATTAAATTTGTTTTTAAACATACTTGTTATAATAATGTTCTCAAATCACAATGTTCAACGAATTTCAATTAAAAACATCAAAATTATATTCTCATTTTCATTCATTAATGATGTGTCAACCACTCGAATATGAATAATTTTTACACTAAAAAATTTAACAATCATTAAAACAAAAATTAATATTATTCATAATTATTATGAAACGTACAAGAATAAAATACTAATACACAACATAATCAATTGTTTCAATAGTATCTTTTGTTTATTTTAAAAGTTTGAGTAAAGTAAAGTAAAGTAAAGTTTTGCCTAAATGAATCATTATTTTATTTATAAAATAGATACTTTCATTTGAATATTAATTTATTTATAAGAATAAAGCAATATTTAATTATATTTTAGTCTTGTGTAAAATCAACATCTATAGAAAAATGGTGGATTTTTTATTTGTTTTTTTACACAATATATTATGATATTCTGTAAATTAAAGCTAACAAAATAAATAAGGAAATTCAATCAATTAATAAATATATATGTATATAGTTGAAAGAAGAATCATCATTAAGAAATCTACATAATTGTACTTAATTTTTGTATCAAAAAAAGTTAAAAGACATCATAAAATGCCATATAACTAACTTCTAGGAAATCTTAACCTTACTCATAAATATGTCAAAAAATGCTATTATACCCCAACAATTCTGAATAATTAATTAATTGTTTTAGTTTTTAATAATTTAGAAAAAAAAAACTCTAATTTATATTTAGTATAAACTATAATATGCATTTTAAAGAATATTAAAAGAGTTTAACAGATAGAATTGATAGTTTTGGACTTCTTCAATCTGGAAAACAATTATTTCCAAAATTTTTTTTTTATAGATTTAGATTATATATTTATTTACTTCTACATAGTTATAGTTTGATGAATTTATACAAGAAGCATGAACAAATCTTAAAATAACATTTTAAATTCAAATTTTGGATTCTAAAACTTCAAAAATCCTAAAATGTTCTAAAAAATTACCTTAAAATTCTTCTTATCTGATTCAAAAATACATGAAACAAATATGTTATAAAACAAGCATTGCATAGCCAGATTTGGAAAATAATGCAAAGTGCATCAATATCGCAACATTACTAATAAACTATAATGACTAAACCTCAACATACATTTTACTCATATAATATATATATATATATATGTATATATAAATAAAAAAATGATCTTACCTAGATAATTTACAGGCAGTTTGTTCGATGCAATGTGGTCAAATTTTAGTCTTACATATTACATTTAAAAACATTCAATCGATTTTTAAACTAATTACGTATGTTTCAAAGAATTTAAAATGATACAAATTTATCTTTGAAAATTGTTTAGGTACCTGATGAAACAAAGTCTTGTTTGAAATTTTAGTAGGTACCAAGTTACAATAGTGACTTAAATCTTATATAATACTTAACAGACTGGTAATATAACTATTTTAACAATTAATTCTAAATTTAGTACTTACTCAGAATTGTAAACATTTTTCATAAGAAAATAAGAGAAAAAAAATTACTTAGTTCATAATATTTGGACTAATTAAATTTCAACATTCAACATTTTTTGCTCCTAATGTTGTGTTTAACTGAATAGATCAACATTAACAGTCAATGTCCACTTTCACTTATCCCTCCTATTGTGATTGATTTTTTTTGTTAGGAATTTATGATGATAGTTATTAGAAAACATTGTATTTTAAGACTGTGATAAATTCGTTTAAAACAAAATATAGATAATAAATGCAAAAATGTTATTCTTGGGTTTTCAAAATAAATTGTGTAGAGAAAATTTATTTTTATTTAGAAAAGTCATACCTATTTTTAAATTTGAATGAATATTATGTTTCAAAACATAATTAAAGTGTAAATTTAATTTAATAAATATGAAGAAAGAAAATGAGCAATCTTAAATTATCACAGTTTGTTAAAAAGTAAATAAAAATCACAGTATGTTACAAAAAACATTTTTTTAAATAAACTGTCAAAGTTTTTTTTACTATTGTTTAAAATTGTATAAGCTTGGAATGTTAAGCTTTGATGGAAAAGTAAAACTTAAGTTAATAAATATCATCAACGCTTTCCCTTTTTTTTCTTATCTTTTTTTTTATCATGTTTCTTTTTCTTTTTTCTTCGACTATTGTGGACAATATCTGTTTCTGGATCTTCTGGTTCAGTCATAGGAGGTTGTATAGTTTCACTCAATAAGCAAGTTGTGGAAATATTATTTTTATTAGAGTCCAAGAGTGAAATATTGTTAGCAGTAGTATCAGCTGAAGAAATATTATTAACTGTAGTGTCAATTATGGACATTTTATTAGCCTTAATGTCGGTTGTTTTAATATTAGAGTTTTTAACAGTTTTATAGTTAGTAGTTGCAGTGCTTGACACTGTCAAAGTATCTGTAGTTTTAGTAGTTGTAATTGAAGTAGTACTGTTGTACCTATGGCGGTTTGAGATCATCATTAAGTTATGAGCAGCATTTACTGCTTCTAAACTATCATCTAACAAAGCATGCTCAGGTACAGCAGTAGCAACCGTTTCAACCAAAGACGGTATACTGCAATCTGATGACGGTGAATGAGGCACAGAGTTAATTGATAAACTTGGAGAACAAAATGGCACAGAATTATCTGATGGCATATTTACAGGTGAGCCATAGTATGAATTTGTTGAAGAATTTGGAAACTGAGCACTAGGAACTTGAAGATATGCGTGAGGAAATTCTGTATACATTTGTCCATCAGAATAATAACGAGACATATTATGATTATGTTTCAGGCCTCTATCATTCAAAGTAGAACAAGAGTCCAGAGAGATCCCATGTGATGTTGTAGGAAAATTGCTTAAAATGGGTTGATGAGAAGAACTGGTTAGATTTCCAATTGATGATTGACGTGATGTACTAGGTGAAGTCTCTGCAGCAGCTTGATGTGATGTGTTAGATATATTTTCATGAACATATTTTAAAGACTGGTTAGTTAAATTTAGGTTCATTGATTGATATGAAGGACTAAGAGAATTTTTTACAAAATACCTATTTATTTCATTAGGGAAATGTTCTTCATCGCACTGATGTGAAGTAACTAATAAGTTTTGGTTAGGTGGGTGGTATGATGAATTAGACAATTCTTCCAATACATGTTTTGGTATCACTTTATTAGGTACTTGTAAATATTGATAAGAATGAAGATGTAAGTCTTTATTAAAACATTTATGTCCTATATCAAGTTTTTTTTTACATTCAGAATTCAATGATTTATTATTATCATTAACATCTGAATAACTTTCACATGCATTTCGTAAATTTTGAGAATTGATTTTCACATCTTTATTTAATGGAAAAATAATTGTAAAAGCATGTTTAAAACGTTTTATATGTCTTTCCATGTCTTCTATCATCTGAGAAATAGACTGTTTTTCCACATCTTCTGCTGAAGTAAAACGCTGCGCCAAATGTTTTTTCCAACTTAATGATATTTGTGTATTGGTTGGCTGTTCATTTTCACAATTGTCTTCTTCAATACTTGGCTTTTTTCCTTCAACATATGTATGCAACATTTCTTGATTCTGATTTAATTTAGAATCAAAATCACCACAAATTTCACATAAGCACCGTTTAGCCAACTGTTCTAATACAGGTATATTAGGCCATGTTCTTGGATTTGAAGTCAATAACTGTTTATACTTATACTGAATATTGAAACGAAAGTCATCAAATGGTACAGTAAACTCATGTCGTAGCATTTCTGCATTGGAAGGTATAACACGGAAATGATGGCTGTTGGTACATTTTGGATACATGCATAAAAATAACTTGCCACTATTGAATAAGTAGTGGGCTGCTTCAAAACCATCAATGCCTAGTGATGTACTTGATTCTTTACTTTGACTTGGTATTTTAGTATTTCTATACATTTCTTGATGGTCAGTTGGTTCTGTTCTTGAATTACTTTCAAAATTGTGAACTGCTCGGGATTGAATTTGTGTTTTTTCATCAATGGAATCAGTTCCAGACTGAATGGTAGGTGAGAGATGATCCGGTGCAATGAAATTAGATAAGTCTTGGAACTGTTGGTTTGGCTGGATTAAAGTGCCGTTGTTAACTCTTTCGTTAAATGACAAACCAGTGCTTTGGTTAAGAATTTCATTTGGTGACAATTTTTGATTTAATTCTTCGTCGGTATAATTATACACAACATTTGAATTTCTTTTATAATCCTGACTTTGAGAGACTTCTAAAAGTTTTCCATTTGTAGATGTTTGACTTTTCGTTTTATTTAAAGGCCATTTATAATGAACTTTACAATTTTTACTTGACTGTAGCATTAAATGTGCCATATTCATCATCGACTGTTCTTCTTTTTGATTTGGATCTTCCAACAAACTTGGTCCTATTATCTGGTCATAACTTGAATATTGTAACCCATTATGTGGTGATATACGTTCTGGATTTTTATGTTGCAGTCTAAGAGGAGGATTTTCATATCTAACAGATGTATTACTATTAGATCTTGGATACTTATAAATAAGTCCATTATTCATAATTGACGAATTTTGATTAAGAACACCGTCATAACCATTAATTAATGTTTGTTTTATATTTGGATCATTATCAGTCGGTTGTAACATGGGATGAATATATTTATCGTTTGAACACATGTTAACACAATTTCTCTGTCTATTTTTAAAATGAATTAGATTGGGATCTTCTATGTTTCCATGATTTGTCATGTCTATATCTGATGAAACTCGGAAATCAGTAATTGGACTATAATATACTTGAGGAGGACTTTTATTTCCTAAAAACACCTTTTGTACATGAGCTTCATTCAAGTTAATTGGTATTACAGACTGTGTATTTAGATTAATTGGCATTGAAATCATTTCTGTTGGATCTGTATATATTTTTAATTTTTGCTTTTGATGATGGTTAGTTGTGTCAGACGGATTTTTAATGGTAGACCAATTACCACACTTTTCAAAACTATTAAGTGTATTAATTGATTTTAAGTCTGTTGATATTAGACTAGACATGGATAAATTATTCATACACAAATTATTATCTTTGGGTTCAGCACTGTTAATTCGTAAGTCCATTGAGTCTACATCACTAAATTCATCCGAAACTACATCTACAACATCATGTTTGTCTTTAGTACTTGATAAACCTCGTTCCATAACATTCATATCAGTTGATCTAGATTTGTTCATTGCAAAATTATACGAAGGTTGTTGTTCTATAATAGATTTTTTCTTTAACCCATTAAAACACATGTTCATGGAACTACTGTGATATATACTATTATTTGAATCATTTAATTCATGTGCTACATCTTTTGGAGACACAGTAATGGGGATAGGTTTGACAGTAACTGCCAAAGGTACTCGATTTACGTCATACACAGAACCATATGCTGAATTTGAAACTGAACTTTCACTAGGAGACAAAGCAGCAGTGTATGAATCTTCAGGGAATATTCTTGATTCAATTCGATTATAAGAACATGGCCTAGACATAATTGGAGTTTCCAACTGCATATTATTTAAAAGTTCAATTTCACTATTTCGATTAGCAACACGACTGGTGTTAATGTTAATTGAATTACATAAACCATTTAATTGTTGTAAAGAAGACTGAGAATGATCACAGTCAATATCATTATGATCATTGTGAGCGTGTACCAATGATATATCAGGAACCCATGAACTCTTATTCATAGGGATATCAGTTGAGTTAATAGAAACAGGAGATAACACATTCACTACTTCCAGGTCTCGAGTATTTGAATTGATAGCGTTTTCAACATAAGGATGTTCTATGTGAGACAATTTTTGGTCCATAGGCAAAGCATAAATTTGAGTATTTTCATTTTCATTGATAGATCGTCTGGATGAAACTAATTTTGATATTCTTTCTTCTGAGTTTCTTAGAGATAATATATGTTCAGTCTTTGGACTATTGTTACCTTCAGCATCAGAGCTTGTAGGTTCAATTTCCATTTGCTCAGAATTGTCAACCATTGGTTTAGATTCTGGAGAATATGGATTAGAATGAGACAACTTTAAGGGCCACTGTATGTCACTAGAAGGAGAAGCTGTACCTTCCTGATCACTATTTAAATCAATAATTTTAGGGCAATTTTCAATGCTTTCGTCTTTGTCACTGACAGTAAAATTACTCTGTGGATGTTTCAAATTTAAGACAGCTGTTATCGATAATTCAGGGTGTGATGTTTTTGTCACCCATTTGTTTTCTTTGACTGAAGATTCATTAATTTGATGAGAAACTCCATTTAAGTTTCGAGAGTTCTTTGGATTTTCAAGTACTGAGTTATCGTTATTTAAAGTGATTCGACTAATAGTTTCAATATTCGAGTTCTGACTATTAGAATCAATGATTTGATTTGAGTTGTAGTTTGACACATTTTTTTCATGCTTGGACTTTGTTCTGCAAA